ACTGATCAAAAATCAAAATCATGCGCACTGATTGTATCTCTGTGGACATGTTACTCACGGTGTCAGATGTGCTTTTGTGGTGTCAGTTTGGTGATTTTGCTTCTATGTAGTTGCAGTCAAAGGTGGAATCTTGAACGGTTATCCTATGAAGAAGATTTGGAGAGCCCTGGACTTCAGAGGTCTTGGTGAATACAAGAATTGTCTGTATGGGGAATTGTCTGCACTGGAGTGTTTATACAGTGTGTGGTTCGCTGTTCAGAGAGCATTTGATAGACAGTCGGGAGGTGTATATCACCTTGCCACCACCTTGCACGTACTTGCACAGCAGCTCCATTCACTTGAATGGGTCACGCTCGGTGGGTGCTACGCCTGCTAATAGAGACAGCGAGGATAATTCCTGGCACGGCCTCAGCCGCTGCCTCTACAGCTAAAAGGGGACACACAGGGTTTTACCGCCCCTAAACCACTAGTGTGTAGGAGCCCTAAAATGTTAGACATTCTGCAGAATAAATATATGTGCAGGGCAGGGGCAGATGGACAACTCATGGGGCCCCCGGGCAATAGGGGATCATGGGGCCCCTGTATCCTCGCCCACACTCAAACCACACCCAAAAAAGTCTATGAAAGGTACCAGGGACATCTCATGGGGCCCCCTACTGACCCGAGTTCCCCAGTGGTGCAGGGCCATGGATAAGGGGGTACAACTGGTCCTCCTGTAGGGGGCCCAGACCAGCAGGGGGGCCCAGGCAGCCGGGTCAATCAGATGCGGGCAGGGAGGGAGATCAGCACAGCCGGGGGAAGGGGGCAATTACTGGAACTGATCCCCTGTATGGCTCTCTCTGCACCACCTCCCAATGCACCATACATTTCCCCATGCTGCCCGTGCCCCCCACCCCTTTCTCTTCTCTCCTTCCCAGCTGCAAACACACTATAGGATCCTTAGGATGAAGAATGGGAAAGAGTCCGTAAATATGTCACATTTACCAGCCCCTTCCTTTCCCGAATGAACACAATGTGTGATTGGTACCAATCACTGTGTTCATTCATAATGGAAGCATAGTAAACTTTGTTGATTTGGGGGCCCTGTCACGTTGGCTGTACGGGGCCCCGTAGTCTCTGACAGCAGCCCTGTATATGTGTATCCCCTCACACAAGAATGGCCATAAACAAAACGATTACATTGGATGGTGATAGACAGGTAAGTGCACATGTATGCAACCTAACAGTCCTGGATTGTGTGTAACTGTCCCATATTTTCACCATAGTTCCTGAATCCCAGATATTGTCCCTTAAAGGATCTGCCCAGCTACAGCCTTCCTTTGGCTCTTTCATATGCATAGTGCTGCATGATTTGCATATGAATGAGCCACTGTATGATTTATGTATAAATAGGTTCATAGCTGTATCTGTAACTGCCCCCTGCACTTCATGAGTTACATATCCCTGATCCCTGTGTTATGCTCTTCTGAGCCCTGCACTCTCTATGCTACGTACTGTCAGCCCCCGCGCTCCCTGCGCTACGTACCGTTAGCCCTCGCGCTCCCTGCGCTACGTACCGTCAGCCCCCGCGCTCCCTGCGCTACGTACCGTCAGCCCCCGCGCTCCCTGCGCTACGTACCGTCAGCCCCCGCGCTCCCTGCGCTACGTACCGTCAGCCCCCGCGCTCCCTGCGCTACGTACCGTCAGCCCCCGCGCTCCCTGCGCTACGTACCGTCAGCCCCCGCGCTCCCTGAGCTACGTACCGTCAGCCCCCGAGCTCCCTGCGCTACGCACCGTCAGCCCCCGCGCTCCCTGCGCTACGTACCGTCAGCCCCCGCGCTCCCTGCGCTACGTACCGTCAGCCCCCGCGCTCCCTGCGCTACGTACCGTCAGCCCCCGCGCTCCCTGCGCTACGTACCGTCAGCCCCCGCGCTCCCTGCGCTACGTACTGTCAGCCCCCGCGCTCCCTGCGCTACGTACTGTCAGCCCCCGCGCTCTCTGCGCTACGAACTGTCAGCCCCCGCGCTCCCTGCGCTACGTACTGTCAGCCCCCGCGCTCCCTGCGCTACGTACTGTCAGCCCCCGCGCTCCCTGCGCTACGTACTGTCAGCCCCCGCGCTCCCTGCGCTACGTACTGTCAGCCCCCGCGCTCCCTGTGCTACGTACTGTCAGCCCGCGCGCTCCCTGTGCTACGTACTGTCAGCCCCCGCGCGCTCCCTGTGCTACGTATTGTCAGCCCCCGCGCTCCCTGTGCTACGTACCGTCAGCCCCCGCGCTCCCTGTGCTACGTACTTTCAGCCCCTGCACTCCGTGTGCTACGTACTATCAGCCCCTGAACTCCCTGTGCTACGTACTGTCAGCCCCTGAACTCCCTGTGCTACGTACTGTCAGCCCCCGCGCTCCCTGTGCGACGTACTGTCAGCCCCCGCGCTCCCTGTGCTACGTACTTTCAGCCCCTGAACTCCCTGTGCTACGTACTGTCAGCCCCCGCGCTTCCTGTGCGACGTACTGTCAGCCCCCGCGCTCCCTGTGCTATGTGCCGTCAGCCCCTGAACTCCCTGTGCTACATACCGTCAGCCCCCGCGCTCCCTGTGCTACGTGCCGTCAGCCCCTGAACTCCCTGTGCTACGTACTTTCAGCCCCTGCACTCCGTGTGCTACGTACTTTCAGCCCCTGCACCCTAACAACTCCTAACTCCTGCACTCTGTGCAATATGCACTCCTGACCCCTATACTTTCAGTGTCACGTATTGAGAGCCCTGTACTTCACACACTGAGCACTCCTGACCCCTTCACTCTGTGTGTTGCACATTTTCTACCCCTGTACTCTATGCTTTACACACTCCTGACCCCTGCATGAAACTCTATGTTGTACATTTCATACACATAACTTCTGTGCTCTGTATGCTGGTGTAAGGGACCACCCAGCGGTACCTCTAGCAACCCACCGGTGAGGTGCTTCCAGCGTGCGGAATCTAAGTCCCAGAGCACTTGTTCACCAGGGCCCCTGATGGTGGGGATGGACTTGTAGCGCTCTGAGACCAGGTCGCAGTTACTGGGCACACTCACCACTGGTAGGGGTATCCACCAGGGGCTCCCGCAGAGGAAGAGCCTAATGTGAAAAGGCTGGGAGATCCCGACGCGATGGATAGATGGATGGCTGAGCGAGTGCGAGGTCAGGCAGGCCGGGTCGGTAACTATGGGGATGGTGCGGTACAAAGCAGCGGGCAAAGAGTAGTCGGGTCACACGCCAGGTCAACAACAGCAGGTCAGGTCCAGTAGGGGGCATCCAGGAGAGAGGTCAGGCAAGCAAGGGTCAGGACAGGAGAAAGCAGCAAGGTCAGGGCACAATCCGGGTCAGCAACTCACTTATTCACAGGTTCACAGGATACAGGATACAAGGAGACCAGAAGGCACTGAATGACAGCTCAGGACCATTTAAATATCCCGCCCTGCGCTATCATTGGTGCCAAGCACGCGCCCGTGGTCTCTACTGCGCATGCGCGAACTTGATTGCCGCGGTCGGCCAGGTCCCATGCCCTGCACAGGGCGGTGCACTGCGCCTGCGCCGAGCCCAGCGCTGCGGCGATCCGTGACAGCTAGTTTATATGAGATTAGTGACCACTGCAGTCCATGCACTGCAGAGTACTTATGCACATGCCCTTCCCAACATGGCTACCCTAGTTACACACTGCCCTTCCCAACACGGCTACCCTAGTTACACACTGCCCCTCCCAACACGGCTGCCCTAGTTACACACTGCCCTTCCCAACATGGCTACCCTAGTTACACACTGCCCTTCCCAACATGGCTACCCTAGTTACACACTGCCCTTCCCAACATGGCTACCCTAGTTACACACTGCCCCTCCCAACACGGCTGCCCTAGTTACACACAGCCCCCCCCCCAACATGGCTGCCCTAGTTACACACTGCCCTTCCCAACATGGCTGCCCTAGTTACACACTGCCCCCCAACATGGCTGTCCTAGTTACACACTGCCCTTCCCAACATGGCTGTCCTAGTTACACACTGCCCTTCCCAACATGGTTGCCCTAGTTACACACTGCCCCTCCAACATGGTTGCCCTAGTTACACACTGCCCCTTCCCAACATGGCTGCCCCAGTTACACATTGCCCCTTCCCAACATGGCTGCCCTAGTAACATACTGTCTTTCCCAGCATGGCTGCCCTAGTTACACACTGACCTCCCAACATGGCTGCCCTAGTTACACACTACCCTCCTCAATATGGCTGCCCTAGTTTCACAGAGCCCCTCCCAACATGGTGATGAGGTGGCAACCCTACTCCCAACACGGCTACCCTGGTTATACACCTCCCTTACCAACATGGTTACCCTAGGTACACACTGCCCCTCCCAACATGGCTGCCCTAGTTATACACTGCCCTTCCCAATATGGCTACCCTAGTTACACACTGCCCTTCCCAATATGGCTACCCTAGTTACACACTGCCCTTCCCAATATGGCTACCCTAGTTACACACTGCCCTTCCCAATATGGCTACCCTAGTTACACACTCCCCCAACATGGCTGCCCTAGTTACACACTGCCCCTCCCAACATGGCTGCCCTAGTTACACACTACCCTTCCCAACATGGCTGCCCTAGTTGCAGAGCCCCTCCCAACATGGCTGCCCTAGTTACACAATTCCCTTCCCAACATGGCTGCCGCCCTATTTACACATTGCCCCTCCAGGCATGGCTGTCCTAGTTACACACTGCCCCTTCTCAACATGGTTGCCCTAGTTGCACACTGCCCCTCCCAACATGGCCGCACTAGTAACACGCTGCCCCTCCAAAGCATATCTCTCCATTGCCATTCACAACATGGCGAGTGTTACCTTCACTGTAGCGGGCACCGCCCTCCACAAGATGGCGCTCTATTCTATGCCCTCCACAAGATGGCCGCCGTTGCTTCACATTTCCATGACCTTCCTAAGATGGCGATCTACGTGTTTCTGGTATTGTGGGACGGAAGTGCCGCCCTGGGATAATGAAGATGGCGGAGTGAGGGGTTGTTGTGACTGGTTGGGTACTATGGATAGGAAGAAGAAGGTGCTGGAGGTGACGGCGTCCTCGGTGAGTGACAAACAAAGCTCAGTCACATCGGCTGTTTCCGTCCATGCTGGGACTTGTAGTTCTTCCCCAGGGCCCCTCTGGCAGTCCTATAAAAATAATGTCCAGGGACATCCCTGAGCCTGGAAAGGGAGCGCCTCGTTCAGGAGAAATGTGAGGTATCCCATAGCAACCAATGGGAAACCAGCATCTCCTGTGTGGTGACCTATAGCAACCAATCAGACCCCAGAATCTCAGTGTGGTAACACATAACCAATGGGAAGCCAGCCTCTCCTGTGCGGTGACTCATAGTAACCAATCAGAACCCAGAATCTCTGTGTGGTAATACATAACCAATGAGAAGCCAGCCTCTCTTGTGCGGTGACCCATAGTAAACAATCAGAACCCAGAATCTCTGTGTGGTAATACATAACCAATGAGAAGCCAGCCTCTCCTGTGCGGTGACCCATAGTAAACAATCAGAACCCAGAATCTCCTTGTGTGGTAACACATATCCAAGGAGAAGCCAGCCTCTCCTGTGTGGTGACTCATAGTAACCAATCAAAACCCAGAATCTCTGTGTGGTAATACATAACCAATGAGAAGCCAGCCTCTCCTGTGTGGTCACCCATAGCAACCAGTCAGAAGCCATAACAGGAATAGAAGGGAAATCTTCCAATGGGGACACTAGTTTTGGTGGCAACCAGGGATTCCCTCATGTTGGAGGGATTTTTCTCACTTCCTGTTTTAGCCATGGGACAGGAAGTGAAGGGAAATCTCTTCAATGAGGACACAGATGGCAAATAACCGTGCCGTGCTCTATCCGAAATGAAAAACGTTTTGCCTTTAGTGACACTTTAAGGGCCGGTTTACACCACAAAAACGCACTACAGATCCATTCCAGATGTGTTTCTGCTTGCACGTTTTTAACGCGTTCCAGTGCGTTACTGATGCGTTTCTGGATTTTTTCGTATTTTTTTTCACTGTACTGGGTCCTGGTGTGTTTTTGATGCATTTTACTGCATTTCAGTTCAGTCCAGTGCTGGAAAAATGCAGCATATTCTACTTCTATTCTGGATCTGACCGCATGCTGTGAATTAGGCCTTTGGAAACCACATAAGCTACTTTCCCATGTATTTTCAATGTAGAAAAAAAAACTGCACTGGACTGCATGCGGTGTGACTTGGCCCTGAAGCAGGCCATAGACTGGTCGAAAAATTGGCCGATTTAAAAAAAAAAAAACAAAAAATCGGTCGTTCGATCACCAATGATAAAAAAAATTGTCCGATTTTCTTCCCGTCTACAGCCGGCATTAACCCCATAATTACTTCTGTCCCTTGCAGAGGCAGGGGAGCACACGGGAGCGCACCATATGTGACAGCAATACAGAAGAAGAAGAAGAATTCCAGTCCGCTATTATATTTTATATGAAAAGTCTTGCGGTTGCAAGACTCTCCCCCCCCTCATATTTTGCAAAAAAATATATATATACAGTGGGGATGGAAAGTTTGGGCACCCCAGCTAAAAATGTGTATTAATGTGCATAAAGAAGCCAAGGAAAGATGGAAAAATCTCCAAAAGGCATCAAATTACAGATTAGACATTCTTATAATATGTCAACAAAAGTTAGATTTTATTTCCATCATTTACACTTTCAACATAACAGAAAACAAAAAAATGGCGTCTGCAAAAGTTTGGGCACCCTGCAGAATTTATAGCATGCACTGCCCCCTTTGCCAAGCTGAGACCTGCCAGTGTCATGGATTGTTCTCAATCATCGTCTGGGAAGACCAGGTGATGTCAATCTCAAAGGTTTTAAATGCCCCGACTCATCTGACCTTGCCCCAACAATCAGCACCATGGCTTCTTCTAAGCAGTTGTCTAGAAAACTGAAACTGAAAATAGTTGACGCTCACAAAGCTGGAGAAGGCTATAAGAAGATAGCAAAGCGTTTTCAGATGTCAATATCCTCTGTTCGGAATGTAATTAAGAAATGGCAGTCATCAGGAACAGTGGAAGTTAAAGCAAGATCTGGAAGACCGAGAAAAATATCAGACAGAACAGCTCGCAGGATTGTGAGAAAAACAATTCAAACCCCACGTTTGACTGCACGATCCCTCCAGAAAGATCTGGCAGACACTGGAGTTGTGGTCACTATTCCACTATAAAGAGATACTTGTACAAATATGGTCTTCATGGAAGAGTCATCAGAAGAAAACCTCTTCTACGTCCTCACCACAAAAAAATCATCGTTTGAACTTTGCAAATGAACATATAGACAAGCCTGATGCATTTTGGAAACAAGTTCTGTGGACCGATGAGGTTAAAATTGAACTTTTTGGCCGGAATGAGCAAAGGTACGTTTGGAGAAGAAGGGGCATAGAATTTAATGAAAAGAACCTCTGTCCAACTGTGAAGCATGGGGTTGGATCAATCATGCTTTGAGGTTGTGTTGCAGCCAGTGGCACAGGGAACATCTCACGAGTAGAAGGAAAAATGGATTCAATAAAATTTCAGCAAATTTTGGATGGTAACTTGATGCCATCTGTGAAAAAGCTGAAGTTAAAGAGAGGATGGCTTCTACAAATGGATAATGATCCTAAACACACCTCGAAATCCACGGGGGATTACATCAAGAAGAGGCGTAAACTGAAGGTTTTGCCATGGCCTTCACAATCTCCTGACCTCAACATCATTGAAAATCTATGGATAGACCTTAAAAGAGCCGTGCGTGACAGACAGCCCAGAAATCTCAAAGAACTGGAAGACTTTTGTAAGGAAGAGTGAGCAAAGATACCTCAAACAAGAATTGAAAGACTCTTGGCTGGCTACAAAAAGCGTTTACAAGCTGTGATACTTGCCAAAGGGGGCAGTACAAGATATTAACTCTGCAGGGTGCCCAAACTTTTGCAGACGCCATTTTTTTGTTTCCTGTTATTTTGAAAGTGTAAATGATGGAAATAAAATCTAACTTTTGTTGACATATTATAAGAATGTCTAATCTGCAATTTGATGCCTTTTGGAGATTTTTCCATCTTTCCTTGGCTTCTTTATGCACATTAATACACATTTTTAGCTGGGGTGCCCAAACTTTCCATCCCCACTGTATATATATATATATGTGTGTGTGTTTTGTTTTTTTCTTTGTTTTTTTTTAATCAAAGTGTATTTATTTCCAAAAAAAAATAAATATATATATATATATATATATATATATATATATAAAGTTTAAAAACTGCGCATTTCGGTTTTCGGCCAAGTACATTTTGAATTTTCGTTTTCGGCACCAGAATTGTCATTTCGGTGCACCACTAGTTTATGGTTTACATCGGGGTGTGGAAATTTTTGAAAAAAACGACTTGTCCAGGGACTAAATCAGTGTCCCAATCTACTTGTCCCTCATGACAATCTGCTTGTCCAGATAAAAAAAAAATATGTATTTGAACCAAAACCGTATTTAAATCAAAGGAAATTTTAGGAATGTCGAGGCTTATAAAAACAAAAGGGGCTTCATAGCAACTTAAATGTGTAATCATTTTAACATCGCTGTTTATCTATTAACCACTTCCCGTCCGGTATATAAAAACGGCTGGACGGTGGCAGTCCAGGGGCGGGTTGCCGTTTATAAACAGCGCCCGCATTTTCAAGCTGTTCCCTGGGAGCGTGCAGCACCATGATTGTCGGACGGGACCTCTCTGAGAGGTCCCGATCATGTGATCACTGATTGGCCAATCAGTGATCACATGCAGAGTAGTAAGCAAGATGTCACTTCTGACATTATTGCTTACTGCCTATGAAATCTGTGAATGATCACATGGTACAGGGCTATTCACAACAGCCTTGTACCATGTGACAAGCTGTGACCAATCGCAGCTCGCTCGCACAGTCTTTCTCAATGGCTGCAGGAATGCAGCCAAAGAGAAGGAGAAATGATTGCTTTTACATCCTTTATGGGTGTAAAAGCAATCAGTGTAAAAAAAAAAAAAAAAAATCTTCATCACCCCCCACAAGTAGTACAGTGTCCGTATGTAGAAAAAAAAATAATAATATAAAAAAGGAAAACATTTTTTTTAAAAATTATAATTTTTGGTTATAAACTTTTTTTTTTTTTTTTTTTTACTAAAAAGATAACGGAATACATTTTGGCCGAGATTTATGAAGAAAGATTATATATTTGCAAAATTTTATAAGAAAAACACTATTTTTCAAAATGTTTGGGCTTTCTCATTTACATAGCAAAACAAATAAAAATCCCAGCGGTGAATAAATACCACTAAAATAAAGCTTTATCTGTCTCAAAAAAATGCTAAAAAATTCATACAGGTACAGTGTTGCATGACCGCGCAATTGTCATTCAAAGTGTGATAGCGCTGAAAGCTGAAAATTGGCCTGGGAGGGAAGGGGGGGAAAGTGTCCGGACAGGAAGGGGGGGAAAGTGTCCGGACTGGAAGGGGGGGAAAGTGTCCGGACAGGAAGGGGGGGAAAGTGTCCGGACTGGAAGGGGGGGAAAGTGTCCGGACAGGAAGGGGGGAAAGTGTCCGGACAGGAAGGGGGGGAAAGTGTCCGGACAGGAAGGGGGGGAAAGTGTCCGGACAGGAAGGGGGGGAAAGTGTCCGGACAGGAAGGGGGGGAAAGTGTCCGGACAGGAAGGGGGGGGAAAGTGTCCGGACAGGAAGGGGGGGAAAGTGTCCGGACAGGAAGGGGGGGAAAGTGTCCGGACAGGAAGGGGGGGAAAGTGTCCGGACAGGAAGGGGGGGAAAGTGTCCGGACAGGAAGGGGGGGAAAGTGTCCGGACAGGAAGGGGGGGAAAGTGTCCGGACTGGAAGGGGGGGAAAGTGTCCGGACTGGAAGGGGGGGAAAGTGTCCGGACTGGAAGGGGGGGGAAAGCGTCCGGACTGGAAGGGGGGAAAGCGTCCGGACTGGAAGGGGGGGGAAAGCGTCGGGACTGGAAGGGGGGTGAAAGCGTCGGGACTGGAAGGGGGGTGAAAGCGTCGGGACTGGAAGGGGGGTGAAAGCGTCGGGACTGGAAGGGGGGTGAAAGCGTCGGGACTGGAAGGGGGGGAAAGCGTCGGGACTGGAAGGGGAGGAAAGCGTCCGGACTGGAAGGGGTTAAATGCAGCCTCCGTTTTATGGCTCCATGATCCCATGTGCTCCATCTGTTTTCAGTGGGCAGAGCCGCTCTCTCTGGTGCCATTCTAGAAGATTCTTAAGCGGCTTTCACACGGAGGAGTTTTGAAGAAAACTCAAGAAAAACGCTTCCCTGTGTATGTGAATGTATATCTATGTATGTGAATGTACATCTATGTCTGTGAATGTATATCTATGTATGTGAATGTATATCTATGTATGTGAATGTATAGCTATGTATGTGAATGTACATCTATGTATGTGAATGTACATCTATGTCTGTGAATGTACATCTATGTCTGTGAATGTACATGTATGTCTGTGAATGTACATCTGTGTCTGTGAATGTACATCTGTGTCTGTGAATGTACATGTGTGTCTGTGAATGTACATGTGTGTCTGTGAATGTACATGTGTGTCTGTGAATGTACATGTGTGTCTGTGAATGTACATGTGTGTCTGTGAATGTACATGTATGTCTGTGAATGTATATGTATGTCTGTGAATGTATATGTCTGTCTGTGAATGTAACATCTGTGTATGTGAATGTACATCTGTGTATGTGAATGTACATCTGTGTATGGGACTGTACATCTGTGTATGGGACTGTACATCTGTGTATGGGACTGTACATCTGTGTATGGGACTGTACATCTGTGTATGGGACTGTACATCTGTGTATGGGACTGTACATCTGTGTATGGGACTGTACATCTGTGTATGGGACTGTACATCTGTGTATGGGAATGTACATCTGTGTATGGGAATGTACATCTGTGTATGGGACTGTACATCTGTGTATGGGACTGTACATCTGTGTATGGGACTGTACATCCGTGTATGGGACTGTACATCCGTGTATGTGACTGTACATCCGTGTATGTGACTGTATATCTATGTATGTGACTGTACATCCATGTATGTGACTGTACATCTATGTATGTGACTGTACATCTATGTATGTGACTGTACATCTATGTATGTGACTGTACATCCATGTATATTTTCACACTGAGGTATTGCGGTGTAAAACTCCTGTTTGCTGCATCTTTGGGGCACGTTTGGGGGGTAAAAAAAAAACGCTCCAAGCACAGCTCTTCCCATTGAAATCAATGGAAAACGCCTAAAAAAACCGCCTCTGAGAAGCATTTCTGGTGTAGTTTTTAAGTCGCGCTCAGAAAGTACGGCAAAAGCGCGGTAAAAACGCTTATGTGGATCAGTGAAAGTAGCCTTAGAAATGAAGTTTTCAGGTAACCGATTTTCTTTTTTTTTTCTTCGTTTTCTTACTGAGTACAGGTGATATTATGCAGCTCCTTTCTCACATAGTCTGTGTTCCTTTGCAGCTGGTCGACCTTAAAGCCGAACTTTTCCGCAAACAAGAAGAATTCAAGCGTGATAAATTTTCCAAGGCTGCTGATGGGCCCTCAAAGCCAAAAGCGATCCCTAAGGTAGGTAGCACGATAGAATTCTTTTCTTCTTATGTGTGAACATAATGAGCGTCATCACCACCCCTGTAGACATGTCTGTAGCCCCTCCACTAAGGCTCCGTTCACACACTCTGCGATCTCCACCGGCTAGAATCTGCGGAGGTGCGTTCAAATAGCTGCAGAACTGCTAAGCCAATACAGTTCAATGGCAGGCTGTCCCCAGCTGCAACTATCCGTCATCATTCACACAGCTAGTTACTACCTACGGTGAGCATGGTTTGATTATTATTATACAGTATTTATAAAGTGCTAACAGTTCGCTCAGCGCTGTACATTACAATGGGAGACAATACATGAGACAGTACAGTAACAATACAATGTGATACACAAGGGGATCGAGGGCCAGTGGAGGGATTGGCAGAGGGGGGTGGAGGACACTGAGTGGAGGCCAGTGGAGGGATTGGCAGAGAGGGGTGGAGGACACTGAGTGGAGGCCAGTGGAGGGATTGGCAGAGGGGGGTGGAGGACACTGAGTGGAGGCCAATGGAGGGATTGGCAGAGGGGGGTGGAGGACACTGAGTGGAGGTCAGTGGAGGGATTGGCAGAGGGGGGTGGAGGACACTGAGCGGAGGCCAGTGGAGGGATTGGCAGAGGGGGGTGGAGGACACTGAGCGGAGGCCAGTGGAGGGATTGGCAGAGGGGGGTGGCGGAGATGGAGCGGTTGGAAAGGTGAATGAGTCTGGCAGCCATATTCAGGATGGACTGAAGCGGGGATAGCCAGCGGCAAGGCAGGCCAGTGAGGAGGGAGTTGCAGTAGTCGAGTCGTGATATGATGAGGGAGTGGATGAGCTGTTTAGTGGTTTCTGGGGTTAGGAACGTGCGGATTTTGGCGATGTTGCGGAGGTGGAGTCTGCATGTTGCGGAGGTGGAGTCTGCATGTTGCGGAGGTGGAGTCTGCATGTTGCGGAGGTGGAGTCTGCACGAGTTTGTTAAAGATTGGACTTGGGGCTGGAAGGATAGATTGGAGTCAAGAATGACACCCAGTACTCTGGCCTGCGGGGTGAGCCTGATGGTGGCATTGTTGGCCGTGATGGAGAAGTCAGTGGGGGGTGGTATGCGGGCTGGGGGGAAGACGAGGAGCTCGGTTTTGGAGAGGTTCAGTTTAAGGAAGTGGAGCAACATCCAGTCTGATATGTCGCTCAGTAGGTGTGTGATTCGGGCTGAGACCAAGGGGGTGAGGTGGGGGGTTGAGAGATAGATTTGTGTGTCGTCGGCATAGAGGTGGTAGTTGAAGCCGTGAGAGTGTATGAGTTGGCCAAGGAAAGAGGTGTAGATGGAGAAGAGAAGGGACCCGAGGACAGAGCCTTGAGGGACCCCAACAGAGAGGTAGAGTGAGGGGGAGGTGGCAGCGTTATAGGTAACACTGAAGGAGCGTTGTGATAGGCAGGACGAGAGCCAGGAGAGAGCGGAATCTCTGAGGCCGAGGGAGTGTAGTTTTTTGAGGAGGGGGTGGTCAACTGTGTCGAAGGCCGCAGAGAGGTCAAGGAGTAGGAGCACTGAATAGTGGCCATTAGCTTTGGCGGTTAGCAGGTCGTTGGAGAGTTTGAGTAAGGCAGTTTCGGTGAAGTGTAGGGGACGGAAGCCGGACTGTAGGGGATCGAGGAGGTTGTTGTCATTGAGGTGAGAGCATAGGCGGGCGTAGACTAAGCGCTCGAGGAGTTTGGATGTAAATGGCAGCAGGGAGATGGGTCTGAGGTTGTTCGGGTCAGTGGGGTCCAGGGAGGGATTTTTAAGTATGGACATAAAATGTCCGCACAGTCAGTCATCACAGGTCACATCTGGCTGTGCGAACGGTCAGGAATAGCTGCGGCCACTGACAGCCTATCATTTTTTTGAATGGGCTCAGCGGCCGCAGCTATTTGCACACACCTGTCCATTTCAGCTGCAGGAATCCGTAGATTCTTGCCGCAGGAAATCGCAGCGTACTAAATCGTCTGTGTGGATGGAACCTGTCATTTTAGGGTCTGCAGCCACTGACAGCCTGTCATTGCATTGTAGGGACTCAGCGGCTGCAGCTATTTTTGCACACACCGGTCTGTTCCATCTGCAGGAATTCATAGATTATTGCGGCAGGAAACTGCAGTGTGTGAAATTGCACATGTGAATGAACCCTGTCATTTCGCAGGAGCTAGAAGAAAAGCAACAAAGCTGAAAGAAACAGTCTGCAATGATTCAACCAGTTGCAATTTCTAACAAAATACTTTGCACATCCTTTTATTTATAATAAAGTCTGTTTCGGATTGTTCGGTCAGAGACATTCGCACCAGTGGCCTGCTGGAGGTCATTTTGTAGGGCTCTGGCAGGGCTCATCCTGTTCCTCCTTGCACAAAGGAGCAGATACCGGTCCTGCTGATGGGTTAAGGACCTTCTACAGCCCTGTCCAGCCCTCCTAGAGTAACTGCCCATCTCCTGGAATCTCCTCCATGCTCTTGAGACTGTGCTGGGAGACACAGCAAACCTTCTGGCAATGGCATGTATTGATGTGCCATCCTGGAGGAGTTGGACTGCCTGTGCAACCTCTGTAGGGTCCAGGTATGGCCTCATGCTACCAGTAGTGACACTGACCCTAGCCAAATGCAAAACTAGTGAAAAACATTCAGAAAAGAGGAGTAGGGAAAAAAATGTCAGTGGCCTCCACCTGTAAAGCCATTCCTGTTTTGGGGGGTTGTCGCACTGTTGCCCATCTAGTGCACCTGTTCATTTCATTAACACCAAAGCAGATGAAACTGATTAACAACCCCCTCTGCTACTTACCTGACCAGATCAATATCCCAGGAGTTTCATTGAGTTGATGCTAGACTCTGATTACAAAGTGTTCCTTTAATTTTTTTGAGCCGTGTGTGTATGTGCGTGTGTGTATGTGTATATATATATATATATATATATATATATATATATATATATATATATATTTTGTTTTATAATATATATTATAATTTTTTTTTCTTTTCAGAAGCCTAATATCTGGAATAAGCAAAATGTTGGGGTCTCAGCCCGAGCAGAGAAAGATGCCGAGCAGAAAGCTGAAGAGGACAACACACTTGACAAATCCAGGTCAGTCATTGGAATGATTCTTGTTTGTACCGAAGTGCACCTGTCATTTTGGAGATAATGCTATATGGTTAAGATGGTGGGAACGAGTGGTATGCATTGCCCTTACTCTTTACTTCCTGAAGGTAAGTACTTATGTGGGTGTACAGTGCTGCATAGTTATTTGGCGCTATATGAATGCCTTTTAATAAAAAAATAAATAACATGAGTTGTAATCTTTTATCTTTTTTAGGAAGAAGTTGGAGGAGAAAGCACTCCTGTATGAGAAGATGACCAAAGGAGATTTTCCTGGTAAGATTACAAGGAAACGATTCAGATCATTGCTTTGTGATCCATAATGCTTCAGTGCTTTCATTTCTTTTTTAACATCATGACAGTGAAGGTGGCCATAGGCAGATCGAATCTCGGTTTGTCCAGCAGGGACTGGCTGAATTTGACCCATCTATTAACAGGCTAGTTGTACTAAAGTCAAATGATCAATCAGTAACTGTTTTCTGCGTTTCTCTGGGATTCTACAGAGGCTACAAATACAGCTTTACATGCAGATGTAGCCTACAGTGTGTCCAATCAGAAGGAAGTATTTTCATCTCTCTGCGACTAATATTTTATCTTTCATGAGCGATTAAATATTTTCCTTTGATCTGGTATATAAGTCATAGCTCCCAGACAGATCGGAGCCCTCTCCTGGTCTCCTGCTGCTACCCGAAGCCGAAATGGCTAGAGCCCTTCTTTTTAGATTTCTAGAAGGTGGCAAACTGTGACTACATAGGTGACAATGTTTTATTGGCATCTAGGTGTCACCTCCAGCCTAGAAGCTGCTCTGTCCTTTCAGATGCTAATTGGTGAACATATGTCTCTGACTGAATACTGAACATTTATCTTTAATAACAGGGAACTAAGCTAGATATACAATTACATATTTCTACTGATCACATCTCAACTACCCAAATCTTACATTTATGTTACACCAGGCTGTCCAATGGTTTTTGTTTTTTTTTTTTTTTTTGCATATGATCCATAGCCACCAGTAGTGGGGAAGGATCCCCACCAGCAGAACACAATAGCGCTGCAGAGGGATTCCCCCATCAATACTGACAGTGTTGATGGGGGAATCAAGTAATTTTCTTTCCACCTAAGGTGTGTACAATCTAAGGTCCCTAAATCACATTCATACACATTCCTTCCACCTAAGGTGTGTACAATCTAAGGTCCCTAAATCACATTCATACACATTCCTTCCACCTAAGGTGTGTACAATCTAAGGTCCCTAAATCACATTCATACACATTCCTTCCACCTAAGGTGTGTACAATCTAAGGTCCCTAAATCACATTCATACACATTCCTTCCATCTAAGGTGTGTACAATCTAAGGTCCCTAAATCGCATTCATACACATTCCATCCACCTAAGGTGTGTACAATCTAAGGTCCCTAAATCGCATTCATACACATTCCTTCCACCTAAGGTGTGTACAATCTAAGGTCCCTAAATCACATTCATACACATTCCTTCCACCTAAGGTGTGTACAATCTAAGGTCCCGAAATCGCATTCATACACATTCCTTCCACCTAAGGTGTGTACAATCTAAGGTCCCTAAATCACATTCATACACATTCCTTCCACCTAAGGTGTGTACAATCTAAGGTCTCTAAATCACATTCATGCACATTCCTTCCACCTAAGGTGTGTACAATCTAAGGTCCCTAAATCACATTCATACACATTCCTTCCATCTAAGGTGTGTACAATCTAAGGTCCCTAAATCACATTCATACACATTCCTTCCACCTAAGGTGTGTACAATCTAAGGTCCCTAAATCACATTCATACACATTCCTTCCACCTAAGGTGTGTACAATCTAAGGTCCCTAAATCGCATTCATGCACATTCCTTCCACCTAAGGTGTGTACAATCTAAGGTCCCTAAATCACATTCATACACATTCCTTCCACCTAAGGTGTGTACAATCTAAGGTCCCTAAATCACATTCATACACATTCCTTCCACCTAAGGTGTGTACAATCTAAGGTCTCTAAATCACATTCATACACATTCCTTCCATCTAAGGTGTGTACAATCTAAGGTCCCTAAATCGCATTCATACACATTCCTTCCACCTAAGGTGTGTACAATCTAAGGTCCCTAAATCACATTCATACACATACTAGGGCCACTTAGATAGAAACCAATTAACCTACCAGCATGTCTTTGGAGTGTGGGAGGAAACTGGAGTACCCCCGTGGAAACCCACGTAGGCACAGAGAACATGCAAACTCCAGGCAGGTATTGCCATGGTTGGGATTCAAATCGGTGACCCTAGTACTGCCAGGCGGAAGTGCTAACCACTTAGCCACTGTGCTGCATTACATACGCTTTAACTTTCTGGGCTTCAATCAGCCCTAAATTACCAAAATGATTGCAATTCTGTAAAATGTTCAGGTGTTCATCTACTTTTCTGCTTTCTATTCCCACCTTCTGAAAGGTTAAATGAGTTGACATGCATAATGGTCTGTGATTTCTCTTCATTGCCGGTACAGAATCGGCTCATCATTGTGTATGTATCAGCACGCACAATTGTGACTCATACAGGTTCAGAGCCGGGCGATTCGCTATCTCTTGGCCTCGCTGTTGCTTCAGCTCATTATTGGTAAATTGAGGTGCTCAATGCCGACACAGCTGGTGCTTTTATGTGCGAGACGAGAGCCTCTCATCCGGCGCACTTCACGCGCTCCTTTCAAGTCTCTCTTGTGCTATATTGAAGCGCGGCATCAAAGCGCCCGGTTTCGGCTCCCATTATTTTTTATTTTCCATGCCAGCGGATGCTGGAACATACTGCTTAACCATTCCTTTCTCCTGCGTTAATGACAAGCCGTCTTTGCCCGGCAGATGAGGAGACGGAGGAGCTGTACCTGGTGGATTTTGCACAGAAGATTATAGACAAGCAGCGAGAGGTGCAGACATTGTGTCACAAGGAGCAGAAGACAGACGAAGGGGAGGAGGACGTGAGAGCGCCGGATATGCCAGTCCCGGGTCCTAAAGACCCCGGGGAGGAATGGTGAGTGTGTTTCAGAGGAACTACTTCACGGCAAGTACATGTAAACCCAATTACAGTTTAACCCGTGTAACCGTCACTGGTTCCTCCTCATCAACACACCAATTATTATTATTATTATACAGGGTTTATATGGGGCCAACAGTTTGCTCAGCGCTTTACAATATAACGGGAGACAATACAGCAACAATACAGTTCAGTACAAGAGGGATAGGAGGGCCCTGATCCTTTGAGCTTACAATCTAGGAGAATGAAACCAATGAAACACCAATGAAATGTTTAAATAAAACCTTTCAGTTTTTATTACATACCTTATTTTGAAGCCAGTCACCGGGTCTCTGTGCTTCTCTATGCAATGCAGGTAAACCACAGCTTTTAGGAGGGGCCGGCAGGGTGCTGTACATAGCTTCCTGAAACTATCGCAGCACCCTGCCTCAGTACTCATCTCAAGAGCCTGATACAGAGTGTGGGTTTACTCCTGGAGGAGTTATGCAAATATCAAAATTCCTTGATGGACGAATGTCAGTCTGGAGGAGTGGGTGGTGTTACGCAAGCTGCATTTACATGCAGACTGTCCTAGGTAACACGTGATGCTGAGCCTCCATGATTGAACACCTAATATTTGAAAAGGGTGGACCAGGGACAGCCAGGATGGGGAGGAAACGACTTGGTCAGCCTTTTCAACACAGAGAAACCCTTGAGATAACTTTCCGATCTCAGGGAACCCGGCTAAATGCCTACCATATCTACAACTCATGATACATTGGTGTGATGGTCAGTGGGAAGAATGCTCCTTACACCTGAGGTCCTTGGGAAGAGTTACTGTACCTTGTTACAGATAGCTTGTAACGGAACCGGATCCCGACTGCACTGCGGCATTTCTGTTAGACTCCCGCTTCCCTGTCCGGACACCATCCACGGACACCACCGCTGACCATACAGGACAAGACAGCACCAGGCTGCTTCTTAAGACAGGAAGTGGACTGCTTTATTTTAACACAAACACAAGATATATACACAGGGCTGGGAAATACATTCAGTAACAGGAAACACATCAGCAGGCCGTCCCATCAGGGGGAAGGGCTGCCCGGAACCTCTCCCCACCAAGCCAGTACAAACACATATATCCCATAATCCTTTGCTCCCAAGTAAGACACACAATGGAACAATGGGATACACCAGGTTGCAGTAGACAATGAACAACCCCCACACCAATACACAAACCGTACATCCCATAATAGTTTGCTAGAACAATGGGATGCACCCGCATGGCAGAGAACAATGAACAATCCCCACACCAATATTAGAACATTTCACCCTGTACCCCTAACAGGCACAGGGTGACTTGCACATAATGGGAACATGGGGAGCTGAGACAGGGCCCCCCCACCCCCAAAAGTCACTCCCATCACATAGCTAAAAAGATGAATGGTGTCAGTGGGAACTTACCATAGAAGCAGAAATTGCTCAAGGAACCCCTAGCAAACTTCTGGAGGAACCCTAGGGTATCATGGAACCCTATGATGTAAATGAATAAAATGCAGTGCTAGTTCTATAATCTCATGTCACTTTAAATGAAGTCCATATAAGTTCCCAAATGAATGGACGCAGGTGCATAAAGGGAAAAGTTCGATCCAAAAAACCCGTCACCATACACCCAAAACAGATTGGCCTCTTACCAGACAATTTGACCGCACAAAGTCGGTCAACATGCGCAGTTTGATATAACATCAATACAGCAATCGATCCTCAATAGAGATCCCCCTCCAGAATGAAAAGTAGCTTCTTCACCTTCAATGATCTCCAAATGGCAGAAACTCCCATCCGATGGTCAGGGAATGAATAAAGAGGAAAAGCAACTCCTAGTGTAGTATTTAAAAATCTAATTTGGTAAATTTTATTTAGGTTCCACGTACATCAGTATATAAGACAACCAGCATGATAAAATAGGATGTTTCTAACCGACAAGATGGCCGCCGTCCCTCCAGACACGGCGAGGCTCCACCCTACATGTTTCGTCATCAAAAAGACGTCTTCAGGGCCGTGACGAGCTTCTATCCATTTGGGAACTTGTATGGACTTTATTTAAAGTGAGATGAGATCATTATATAACTAGCGCTGCATTTTCTTCATTACATCATAATATTGCCTTTTATATGTGCAAGCTGCTTATATTCTATTTATTTTTGTTTAAAATCTGAGCGCAAGTGTTGGTTTATATGGAACCCTGGTTGAGAAACCCTGGACTAGGTGATGCTGGATGTCCTCCAGCCAAGACATGAGGCGGAGCTCTGTTTGACTTGCTCCAGTTTCTAATGCACATTGTGAGAAGCTCACAGTGTGCAGTGAAATCAGATTAGGCCGTTTCAGTTCAGGGGAGGAGCCGGTACACCTGTGCAAGACAAGAAGGCTGAAGTTCGGCTTTAAAGCCAAATTTCCCATTCTTTCATCTGCATTTACGGTTTTTAAATTCTTCTGTATGCTTTTGCATCCTCTGCTTCGTTGTCTTTCCTCCGATGGTGGACAGTCCTTACTGCCGCACAATTCTGTAATGTGTAATGATGACGCACCCTCAGGAGGATGTAGAGGGCAGAAGTGCACCTTGGACAGCGGGAGTATTGCCGTGCAAACTTTCTCTTTTAACCCTTTGGCGCCGGCGCTTCCTGGCCCTTTAGCCCTGGTTCATATATACGCGGTCGTGCGGGCCGCGTCTTGCGCGGGCTGGAAAAAAAGGTGAAAAGACAATTGTTTGATACACAGTGCTTTAGCAATCCAAATTCTACTTTGCTAAGGTTTAGAACTCCTAGAAATCCTGCGATGGTTACCTCTGGCAATGTATAGAGCTCATCTGCATGTGCCATGCACAAGTGTTTAAATATCTGTGTGATCGGTTGTGATTTCTCCTCTCCATAGGGTGGATTATGTTGATTCGCTGGGCCGATCAAGACGCTGTATGAAGAAGGACCTTCCAGACCTTTTGAAAATGGACAAAGATCTAAAAGGAAAAAAGTAAGTCATCAAGGCACGTGCCTTGCACAGAACACATTGGGGTTGATTTACTTAATTGGAGAGTACAAAGTCTGGTGCAGCTGTGTATGGTGGCCAATCCGCTCCTAACTTCAGCTTGTTCAGTCCAGCTTTGGCAAAAAACCTGGAAGCTGATTGGTTTTTTATGCAGAGCTGAACCAGATTTTGCACCCTCCAGTTTTAGTAAATCATCCCTATAGGGTTAATGTGAATTTTCCCGTCAGATGTACCCACTTCAGTGGTTGTGATGGTGGTACATGACCAATGATAAAAACTTTCGAACCCTGTGAACAAAAGATGTGAACCATGAAAATGAGGGTACTGTAAGTGGTCCATTCTCCGTAAGAGAAGGGTCTCAATCCCCAAACCCCCCGGGGCACATGCTTCTATCAGGGGTAAGACATGCTGTGGTCTACAGGGCCTTGAAAAAGTATTCATCCCCCTTGGAATTTACCACATTTTGTCATGTTACAACCAAAACCATCAATGTATTTTATTGGGATTGGATGTGATAGACCAATGCAAAGTGGCCCATAATTGTGAAGTGGAAGGAAAATTAGATTTTTTACAAATATCTGAAAAGTGTGGCGGCATTTGTATTCAGCCCCCCGGAGTCAATACTTTGTAGGATCCCCTTTCTCTGCAATTCCAGTCTTTTTGGGGATCTCTCCCAGCTTTGCACATCTAGAGAGGGACATTTCTGCCCCTTCTTCTTTGCAGAGTTGCCCAAGCTCTGTCAGATTGGATGGAGAGCGTCTGAGAACAGCAATTTTCAGGTCTGGCCACAGATTCTCCATTGGATTTAGGTCTGGACTGTGACTGAGCCATTCTAACACATGAAGATGCTTTGATCTGAACCATTCCATTGTAGCTCTGGCTGGATGTTTCGGGTCGTTGTCCTGCTGGAAGGGGAACCTCCCCCCGGTCTCAAGTCTTTTGCAGACTCTAACAGGTTTTCTTCTAAGATTGCCCTGTATTTGGCTTCATCCATCTTCTCATCAACTCTGACCAGCTTCCCTGTCCCTGCTGAAGAAAAGCATCCTCACCACATGATGCTGCCACCACCATGTTTCACGGTGGGGATGGTGTGTTCAGGGTGATGTGCAGTGTTAGTTTTCCCCCCACACATAGTGTTTTTCTTTTAGGCCAAAAAGTTCAATTTTGGTCTCCTCTGACCAGAGCCCCTTCTTCCACGTTTGCTGTGTCCCCCACATGGCTTCTCGCAAACAGGACTTCTTATGGCTTTCTGCCAAAAATGGCTCCCTTCTTGTCACTCTTCCATAAAGGCCAGATTTGTGGAGGTCACAACTAATAGTTGTCCTGTGAACAGATTCTCCCACCTGAGCTGTGGATCTCTGCAGATCCTCCAGAGTTCCCATGGGCCTCTTGGCTGCTTCTCTGATGAATGCTCTCCCTTGCCCGGTTTGTCAGTTTACGACGGCCATGTCCTGGTAGGTTGGCAGTTGTGCCATACTCTTTCCATTTTCAGATGATGAACAGTGCTCCGTGAGATGTTCAAAGCTTGGGATATTTTTTTATAACCTAACCCTGCTTTAAACTTCACATCTTTATCCCTGACCTGTCTGGTGTGTTCCATGGCCTTCTTGATGCTGTTTGTTCACTAATGTTATCTAACAAACCTCTGAGGGCTTCACAGAACAGCTGGATATATACTGAGATCACATGACACACAGGGGGACTCTATTTACTAATTAGGTGACTTCTGAAGGCAATTGGTTCCACTATATTTTAGTTAGGGGTATCCGAGTAAAGGGGCTGAATACAAATGCACGCCATACTTTCCACATATTTATTTATATAAAATTTTGAAAACCATTTCTCATTTTCCTTCCACTTCAAAATTATGTGCCATTCTGTGTTGGTCTATCTCATAAAATCAAAATAAAATACATTTACATTTTTGGTTGTAAAATGACAAAATGTGGAAAATTTCAAGGGGTATGAATACTTTGTCAAGGCACTGTACCTAGGCCAAAGCCAGGTGGACCCCATTCCTTAGAGAAGCCAGTCCACCAAGTACTTGATGAGGGCTCTCCAGAAAAGAGACCCCCGGTTGGGGAAAGAAAATAGACCATAGATCCTCCTTCCAGACTTCAGGGCAGACCCTGATAACCTCCTTCTATGATGACCTGCACCCTTCCTCTGTGATAACCTGCACCCTTCCTCTGTGATAACCTGCACCCTTCCTCTGTGATAACCTGTACCCCGTCTTTGAGTACAGTTTTTTACGATGTTTTTGCCATCATAAGTTCAGTGTAATGAAATCAAGGCTTCTATTGAGCAGGACCCAACAAGACAGTAAAAACATCCAAGTTATGGTGGAAAGGGACTAAAGGAATCAAAAAGCTTTCCAAATGAATCCATGTATAGCACTGTAAAGTACGGATGCACCAATACCGGTATTGGTGACGATTTTGATTTGGTGCGAGGGCTTTTTGATTTGGTGTGAGGGCTTTTTGATTTGGTGCGAGGGCTTTTTGATTTGGTGCGAGAGCTTTTTGATTTGGTGCGAGGGCTTTTTGATTTGGTGCGAGGGCTTTTTGATTTGGTGTGAGAGCTTTTTGATTTGGTGCGAGGGCTTTTTGATTTGGTGCGAGGGCTTTTTGATTTGGTGCGAGGGCTTTTTGATTTGGTGTGAGGGCTTTTTGATTTGGTGCGAGGGCTTTTTGATTTGGTGTGAGAGCTTTTTGATTTGGTGCGAGGGCTTTTTGATTTGGTGCGAGGGCTTTTTGATTTGGTGCGAGGGCTTTTTGATTTGGTGCGAGGGCTTTTTGATTTGGTGCGAGGGCTTTTTGATTTCTTTAGCCCTTCTTACCATACCCTGTATGGTTATACTTTCTCTGTTCAGAAGTATAAGAAGTCCCTAAACTTTGTAAAATGTCAATGTTTGAAAGATCAACCTCCTCTGTGTCCTTACAGAGCGGCCGCTCAGGAAAAGACTTTACTGTCTGAGGATATGAGACAGGAGATGCAAAGACAGCAGTGGGAGCAGGAAGAGGAAGAAGCCTCGAAGAGACCGATTGGTCCCTTACATTATGAAGACATAAGGGACAATGGTATAGAAGCTTTATCTTTTTGGAATATATTTTTTGCTCATATCCAGTATTTGCTATATATAGAGCAGTGTTTCCCAACTTTTTTTCAGTCAAGGCACCCTTTAAAAATTATGGGTAGTCCCGAGGCACCCTTTAAAATCATGGACAGTCATGAAGCACCCCATTCTAAAATAGGGTGCCTCAAGACTGTCCATAATTTTAACCACTTCATGTCTGGCCGTTGTATATAAACAGCCGGACGGTGGCAGTGCAGCGTCGGGTGGCCGTCCTCCGGACACAGTGGAACACCGATCATTTTGGTCATGTGATCACTGATTGGCCATACCTGTGAAATGTGTGAAAATTGGGATACGTGTGAAATCTGTGAATGATCACAGAGGTCACATGGTACAGGGCTATTCACAACAGCCTTTTACCATGTGACAAGCTATGACCAATCACAGCTCACACAGTATTTCTCTATGGCCGCAAGAATGCAGCCAGAGAGGAGAAATGATTGCTTTTACAGCCTTTATGGGTGTAAAAGCAATCGGTGTAAAATCGGTGTAAAAAAAAAAAAAAATCTTCATCACCCCCCCAAGTAGTAAAGTGTGACACTGTACTGCTAGGGTGACAGTATGTAAACCATAGTGTCACCATAGTGACACTGAACTACTTGTGGGGGGTGATGAAGATTTTTTTTTTTTTTTAACACTGATTGCTTTTACACCCATAAAGGCTGTAAAAGCAATCATTTCTCTTCCTCTCTAGCTGCATTATTGCAGCCATTGAGAACTACTGAGTGAGCTGTGATTGGTCACAGCTTGTCACATGGTACAAGGCTGTTGTGAATAGCCCTGTACCATGTGACCTCTGTGATCATTCACAGATTTCACACGTAGTACGCAATGATGTCAGAAGTGACATCTTGCTTACTACTCTGCATGTGATCGCTGATTGGCTAATCAGCGATCACATGATCGGGACCTCACACAGAGGTCCCGTACGATGATTGGTGTTTCACACAGCGGGCACCGGATCCCAGGGAGCACACACAAGCAGGGGGCTTTAAAAGCTGTTTATAAACGGCCACCCAACCCTGCACTGCCACCGTTTATTTATATATATATATATATATATATGGGCTGGGAAGTGGTGTACGGGAAGTGGTTAATGAACATGGTATGAAGAAGCACTTAGAAATCATATCTGGCTGCAGATCGAAATGGAATATTTTTTTTGTTTGCCAATGTCCAGTTCTCCTGTAGACAGCAGTACAAGCAGAAAGTACATGACTTCCTTTGTCCATTGATGGATTGCAAGAAAAGGATTTTACAGTGAGTACAGAAACTTTTTTTTGATAAATCGTATAAACTTGTCTGCTTTGCTATTGCAGAGGCCAGGCAGCTGGGTGTGGGCTATTTTGCCTTCGCCAAGGATGAACAAAACCGTCAGAAGCAAATGGAAACGCTGAATATGCTGCGAGATCAGGTAAGAGGCATGGATAAAGGTAACTGCAATTGTCTATATTAGGGCCTAAGTCGACAGGCTTTTGTTTGCACCAGTTGTTGGGAAAATAAAAGCAGCTTGACGTAAGTCAAAGCAGCTTTGGAGGTTCGAGCTGAACTCCGGGCAAAAAAAAAGTTTCAGGGCAAGGAGATCCAAAATCAGTTCAGGGGGGCTTTAAAGATTATTAAAGCGGAGTTCCACTCAAGCTATAAAAAAAATAAAAGTCAGCAGCTACAAAAACTGTAGCTCCTGACTTTTAAAAAAACAGCCACTTACCTGTCCCTTGGTCCTGTGTTGTGTCCCCCGCAGTCCGTTTCACTGGCCGTCCTGTATTCCAGGAGGCCGGCATCTTCAGTGTGGGCACCCGGCTGTGACAGCTTGCGGCTTCACAGCCGGGTACCCACTGCACATGCGCGAGTAGCGCTGCGCTTGATGAATGGTCCTGTAGTCTTCTGGGACCTGTCGCGTGTCTCAAAAGACTACAGGGAGGGAGGACACCTTCCACTTCTGATCGCCTAGGTGATTGGACCGGAAGTGGGAGTGGGTACCTGTCAAATTTTGGTACCTGCTCCCCAAAGGTGCCAATCCTTAATGGCAAGCGGGGGAGCAGTCGTTATAGCGGAACTTCCCCTTTTGGGTGGAGCTCCGCTTTTAATTAATTTATTCATAGGTGGCTTTTACCTGCAGTTAAAGCCCAGCTCTGGGCAAAAAAACCCAAAACTTTTCCCATGCAATGGGGCTGTGCCCACACTGCATAGGTCAACTGCTTGTTTGTGTCTAGGGCAAAGGTCGCCAAACTATGGCCCTCCAGCTGTTGAAGTTCTACAAGTCCCATCATGCCTCTGCTTCTTTGAGTCTTGCCTGTGGCTGTCAGACTCTTGCAAAGCCTCATGGGACTTGCAGTTCCTCAACACCTGGACGGCCATAGTTTGGAGACCCCTGGTCTAGGGGGTTGGAGAAAGCTTATACTCACCCGATCCTCTGCTCCACCTGCAAACAGCGCTCCCCCACAATCCAGCAGTGGACTGTTCCTGATGTCCTCCTGCCCAGGGCCCTATGGGCGTAATGATGTCAGGAACAGTCCACCGCACAAGGCTACGGGGGGGGGGGGGGGGGGGGTCAGCAGCCACAGCGACAGGTCTGGTTCGTGATGGGTTGGAGGATTAGGTAAGTATATCTCCGTTCTTCAATCCCCTAGACAGAAATGAGCAGTTGACCCTTGCAGTGTGGGCACAGCCTCGTTGCATGGGAAAACTTTTTTTTTGTTTTGCCAGGAGTTGGGCTTTAACTGCAGGCCGAAGCCACCTATGAATAAATTAATTATCTCCAAAGCCTTCTTAAATCATTTCTAATCTTCTTGTCCTGTAACTGATCCCCATGAGCAGAAATAATGTGACTGGTAATAGAGGCCAGAGCACAAAATTGATTATAGCAGCAACTCTTTTTAAATTTAAAGCTGAAGTTTAATTTGCCTGTGTTTTTGTCTTCCCTGGTTTCTCCAAACCCCCCCAATAATGTACCGAAGACATTTTTAAATAAAGTTTTGCTATTTTTATTACACAACTTACGAATGAAAGCGGCAAACCAAAGAAAGTCAGGCTCGGGAGAAAAGGGGTTCTGGGCGTCCTCCAGCCGGAAAATAAGGTGGGCTCTATCTGAGTTGCTGCAGCTTTTAATGCACACTGTGAGAAGCTCACAGTGTGTGGTGAAATCAGTGTAATCCTTTTTCAGCCCAGGAGAGGAGCCGGTACAACTATTCAAGACTAAAGGGAGGGCTGGAGTTCTCCTTTTAAAGGGGAAGCAAGGTTATGATGGAGATGAGCATTGTCACAAAGCAATCCCTAAATGCCATGTCACAAATTCAAAATGAACATTTACAACGTTATCAGTTATGGTTGCACCGATACAGAATACTTGCACTCGTACTCCCGAAACCCATACCTTTGCGGTATGTGATTTGAGCCCATAAAAAATGAATGGGCTCAAATCTTAGTGCAAAGAATTGCATATGATTTGAACAGGAATGCAGTTCCTGTCCAAATCTCATGCGGTTTCCCCCTCTGTTATTGTGTGATCCCAGTAGACAGGAAAGCACTAAGAAGTGCAGAAATGAGCAAACAGTTTATCAATGTTATAACAACTCACATGTTAAGGCCCCTGTCAGGGATGCGGGTGTGACCAGAAGTGTGTGGACTGACACAGGGAAACGCAGGCTTCAGATATAGTAAATAATATCATTTATTGAGACTAACAATACAAACATAAACGCAGTGCACCAAACCCCAAGCTAACACAAATACATACAACAAGGTGAAACAAACCCAAACCTAACTGATATAGATACACAGGTACATACACATATAGAGCACAATGTAGTCAGGCAGGCCGGGTCGATAACTATCGGGCAGGTAGGTACAGGAGGAGCAGGCGGAGAGAATGGTCAGGGTCACAAGCCAGGGATCAAACAGGAGAAGTCAGCAGAGGTCAGGATCAGGCAGGGTCGGCAACAAGTCAGGCAGAAACAGGAACAGGAATGCAGGTTACAAGATACAGGGGCCCATGGAAAAACACACCAAGGCCCTGACTGTGAATCTGGCCATTCCTTAAATACAACCCCTGCAATCAGCTTCAGGTGTTTTGGCTGACTGCAGGGGTGAGTCTCTGATTGCTGAGAGCACCCGCTGGCCAGCCCTGGTACTGCAGCCCACAAGGCAGGTGAGTCCCACCGTTATTGGCAAGTCCATTCCTGACAGCCCCATGTACACGGGAAACTTCTGAATGATGGAAACTGACTACTGGAAAACATAGGTTAAAAAATGTCTGTTTAGCCGCGTTTGTATAACGCGTTTAGAAGCGTTTGTGTTTAGAAGCGTTTTTTAAAGAGAAGCACAAGAGAACCTCCCAAATGCCCAGAATGCACTGACAAGTGGTAAATTATTAACTATTTCAGACTGTTTCAGAGAAATACAGAAAGTAGAAGCAGAGACAGCAGTATGTGTTGAGATTAGCTTAGGTGTGAGTTGCTCATTAACATTTCTTTTGTTTCCAAGGGTGGGAAAGGTGTCTGGTGGAGGGAGTCATTAAGGCCACTTGGCAGGGGGTCTTCATGAGGAATTTGAGATGTGAATGGTCATTAACATATCTTTTGTTTCCAAGGGTGGGAGAGGTCTGAGGTGTGAATGGTCATTAACGTATCTTTTGTTTCCAAGGGTGGGAGAGGTCTGAGGTGTGAATGGTCATTAACGTATCTTTTGTTTCCAAGGGTGGGAGAGGTCTGAGGTGTGAATTGGTCATTAACATATCTTTTGTTTCCAAGGGTGGGAGAGGTCTGAGGTGTGAATTGGTCCTTAACGTATCTTTTGTTTCCAAGGGTGGGAGAGGTCTGAGGTGTGAATTGGTCATTAACATATCTTTTGTTTCCAAGGGTGGGAGAGGTCTGAGGTGTGAATTGGTCATTAACATATCTTTTGTTTCCAAGGGTGGGAGAGGTCTGAGGTGTGAATTGGTCCTTAACGTATCTTTTGTTTCCAAGGGCAGCAGAGGTCTTAGGTGTGAATTGGTCATTAACGTATCTTTTGTTTCCAAGGGTAGGAGAGGTCTGAGGTATGAATGGTCATTAACGTATTTTTTCTTTCCAAGGGTGGGAGAGGTCTTAGGTGTGAATTGGTCATTAACGTATCTTTTGTTTCCAAGGGTGGGAGAGGTCTGAGGTGTGAATGGTCATTAACGTATCTTTTGTTTCCAAGGGTGGGAGAGGTCTGTGGTGTGAATTGGTCATTAACCTATCCCTGTGTTCAGTGTTTTGTCCATCTGAGTAGCTTGAAAATGCTTTGCATGCATTTTTGATGATGAAAAAAAGCTCTGGATAGCATTGAGAACTGGAAGAGATAAAAAAAAATTGCAAACGCTTATAAATGTGTTTTGCCCGCGTTTACAAGCATTTTGCATTTGAAATGCTGATAAACATCGACTGCTGAACGCAAGTTTTCTGCATTCAAAAAAACTGACCGTAAACTCAAATGTAAATGCAGACATGTACACGGACACAGAGGAAAACAATAGGGAGAGTTCAGGGCTGCTGAAAAAAACGCAGAAAAGCTCCTGAACGTCAGTTTGTCAGCTGCAGTTCACATGAGCTCTAAAAGTACAAAAAATATATCTAGCATGTCAAATCCAAAACCACGGCACTTTGTGGCGCTCACAGGGTGGAGGAAATGTATCGGTGGTCTGCCCCAAAGCTGACATCACTTCCACCCTATACCCATTGGGGTCCCGGAACTTCCTGCATCTCCTCCAGCCCTGTGAGCACCGTAAGCAGCCATGGTTTCGGATGTGACATGCAAGATATATTATGTACATATAAGTTGTTACCACATTCATCAACTGTTTGTTTGCCCATTCCTACACCCGTACACACGATGAGAATATCGGACGAACGATCGGCCGTTTTTTTTCGCCTGCTTGTCTCACATCGAAAGTGAAAAGGTTACTAAAGATACGAAAATTCTCCAATGAAAGAAAAGAATTTGAAAAGTGATGTCATGTATTGCGTTGTATTTGTATTTTCAGACGACTACTGCACTGATTCAACGAAAATCGTACTCTCTGGGCTTGTCCCTTCGGATATTGTCGTACGAATTGTCGTGATCGGCTCCCCAAAAGCTGTGTACTAACGTTCCGATTATCGGACGATCGTCCTCGTACGAAAATTTTCGTTCGATTTTTTCTTCTAGTGTGTACGGGCATTAGACATCGCCTGTCTTTATCGGGGGTCACACAGGAGCAGCGGGGCGAACCGCATGTGATTTGGACAGAAATGGCACTGCATTCTTGTTCAAATCGCATGCAATTTGAGCCCATTCATTTTGTATGGGCTCAAATCGCACCGAAAAGGTACTCAGTATCAGTAAGTACTTGACTGAAAGTATCGGTACTCGTATGTGCCGCTAAAAAAACAACGCAACCTTATCATCAAGTAGTTTGAAAAAAAAAAAAACAAAACATTTTCTCTTCCTCTTGCAGACCGAAGATCAAGGCTGAAGCGTGAGCGCCTAAAAGCAAAGCGCAAAGCAATGCTGGACGCGCGTCTTGCCAAACTGCGGCAGCGTAAAATGAAAAATGTGACAGAGGAAGGAGTGGAGCCGGAGGCAGCTCAGGGTGAGTGAGAAGAAATGATATTGTACAGCGCTGCGCAAACTGTTGGCGCTATATAAATACTGTATAATAATAATATATGTGGATATAAAGAACTGTTCTTTGTCAGATTGTTTTGTTTTTTGTTTTTTTTCCCCATAATGCTTTGGGATAATTAAAGTATAACAGAAGTCAAAACTTTTTTTGTTTCCGTTTTGGATAGAGTGGAGAGGGATTAGAACCCCTCTCAGGTGTTCATTGCTGACTGTGCCCCCATTAGGGAGATTCACCCTCTCCATGTGCCCTAGTTATCATTATTGAATGAAAGTAAACAAATTGCCAAGTTTTGGGGTTGTCCCCAGAAAAGTAATAGAGAGGAAATCTTGCAATTGGGATACTAGCTTTGGTGACCTGAGGAGCCCCAAGAGATTCTCCTAATTTTGCAGGGATTTCCGTTCACTTCCTGCTTTGCCTATGGGACAGGAAGTGAAGGTAAATCTCCCCAATGGGACAGATGGTAAAATAACTGACAGGGGTTTATAACCCTCCATTACTAACGTCCAAAATGGGGAAAAAAGGTTTGATTTAAGATCTATCTATTATCTATCTATCTATCTATCTATCTATCTATCTATCTATCTATCTATCTATCTATCTATCTATCTATCTCTCTATCTATTATCTATCTATTATCTATCTATCTATCTATCTATTATCTATCTATTATCTATCTATCTATTATCTATCTATCTATCTATCTATCTATCTATCTATTATCTATCTATCTATCTATCTATATCTATCTATCTATCTTTATCTATTATCTATTATCTATCTATTATCTATCTATCTATTATCTATCTATCTATTATCTATCTATTATCTATCTATTATCTATCTATTATCTATCTATTATCTATCTATCTATCTATCTATCTATTATCTATCTATTATCTATCTATCTATCTATCTATCTATCTATCTATTATCTATCTATCTATCTATCTATCTATCTTATTATCTATCTATCTATCTATCTATTATCTAATCTATCTATCTATTTATCTATCTATCTATCTATTATCTATCTATCTATCTATCTATCTATCTATCTATCTATCTATCATCTATCTATCTATTATCTATTACTATTATTATTATCTATCTATCTATCTATTATCTATTATTATCTATTCTATCTATCTATCTATTATCTATCTATCTATCTATCTATCTATCTATATATCTATCTATTATCTATCTATCTATCTATCTATTATCTATCTATTATCTATCTATCTATCTATTATCTATCTATCTATCTATCTATTATCTATCTATCATCTATCTATCTATCTATCTATCTATTATCTATCTTCTATCATCTATCTATCTATCTATTATCTATCTTTATCTAATATTATCTATCTATCTATTATCCCTATCTATCTATCTAATCTATCTATCTATTATCTATCTATTATCTATCTATCTATCTATCTATCTATCTATCTATTATCTATCTATCTATCATCTATCTATTATCTATCTATCTATTATCTATCTATCTATCTATTATCTATCTATTATCTATCTATCTATCTATCTATCTATCTATCTATCTATCTATTATCTATCTATCTATTATCTATCTATCTATCTATTATCTATCTATCTATCTATTATCTATCTATCTTATCTATTATCTATCTATCTATTATCTATCTATCTATTATCTATCTATCTATTATCTATCTATCTATTATCTATCTATCTATTATCTATCTATCTATTATCTATCTATCTATTATCTATCTATCTATCTATTATCTATCTATCTATTATCTATCTATTATCTATCTATCTATCTATCTATCTATTATCTATCTATCAATTATCTATCTATCTATTTATCTATCTATCTATCTAATATCTATCTATCTATTATCTATCTATTATCTATCTATCTATCTATATCTATCTATCTATCTAATTATTATCGTATCTATCTATCTAATCTATTATCTATCTATCTATATCTATCTATCTATCTTATCTATCTACTTTAAACTGATTCTTTGATTGTTGCTAAAAGCAGGAGACGTATTCTTATCAGTCCAGTCTGATGAGGATGGCATTGTGACCTGTATATGTCTTTTAAACCCCCCTGGCGGTATTCCTGAGTGTAGCTCGGGTGAAGTTTCAGCACCACAAAGCGGTAACCCCCCCGAGCTACACTCGGGAATACACTGCAGCGTTGCTCTGGTATCCCTCCAGCACTTACCTTGTCCTGCGCTCACCGCGATGTCCCTCCTGCAGTGTCCCTGTAATGTCCTCCGACCGATGCCGGCATCTGTCTTTCGGGTTCCGTTCCCTGCGACGTCGGGACGTACGGGGGACGGAACTGGCGGGAAATTCAAAAATGTAAAAAATGTGACATACAGTAAATACACTAAAATCACATAGTATAACATTCCTGTATCAAACCATTTCACATACATTTTGTCCGGCGCCCTGCCTGCATTTTTTTACTGTTCTTTCTGCCTGAAACTGAAAAACGTCCATGGCATCCAAAAAGCGTCTCTTTAGGTCAGACGCGGTTTTTAGACCGGCTAGAGAACAGCGATAGTAAATCAGAACCACTTGCAGAATTGAGTGATGATTGGTGGGGGAAATTCATCATCAGACACTGAAAACGATTCTGCGACTGAGCTCAGCGATGTGCCAACTTGGCGCTAATATTTCACATTTCAGTGTTTTTGGTTTGATTATATTATTGAAATTAAATTTATTATTATTTTTTTTAATTTATTAATATTATAATTTATGATTTCATGTTTCAAATTTTATCCTCCCCGTGATGTTTACTAGACTCTTGTTCGGGGGATCAGATTTCAGTGAGTTATTCCTAAGAATTACAGGCCTACAATAAAAAAAATACATATTTCCATGGAAAAAAAGTACCGCTTTGAGCACAGAAATACTGACCTAATCAGACCGCTAGGGAGGTTAAGATATGTGTAGCTTTTTATTTAATGTTTGTCAGTGTATATATTTTATTTCCTCTCTATGTGACACAGATGCTGAGGATGAACTGATTGGGCCGAGCCAGAAGAGCCCCGTGAGCTGGAGAAGAAGGTGGAAGTTGTTGTACAGGAGAGAAGAGATACCAAACCTGGAGCCCCCCCATGTCAGAGAGTGGGACAGAGGCAAAGGTAAGGCTTGCCTGTGTAGGATGATAGATTATGGAGGGTCTCCCCATAGTTCCTCATTAAATAGGGGGCCACACTTTCCAATTTTACTTTTAAAGTTAACTCTAAATGAAGAGATGTCCCATACCTGCTGAGTAACATCCTTAACTACTTCCAGTCCGGACACTTCCCCCCCCCCCCCCCCCTTCCAGTCCGACACTTCCCCCCCCTTCCAGTCCGGACACTTCCCCCCCTTCCAGTCCGGACACTTCCCCCCCCCCCTTCCAGTCCGGACACTTCCCCCCCCCTTCCAGTTCCGGACACTTCCCCCCCCCTTCCAGTCCGGACACTTCCCCCCCTTCCAGTCCGGACACTTCCCCCCCCCTTCCAGTCCGACACTTCCCCCCCCTTTCCAGTCCGGACACTTCCCCCCCCAATTCCAGTCCGGACACTTCCCCCCCCTTCCAGTCCGGACACTTCCCCCCCCTTCCAGTCCGGACACTTCCCCCCCTTCCAGTCCGGACACTTCCCCCCCCTTCCAGTCCGGACACTTCCCCCCCCCTTCCAGTCCGGACACTTCCCCCCCCTTCCAGTCCGGACACTTCCCCCCCCTTCCAGTCCGGACACTTCCCCCCCCGCCTTCCAGTCCGGACACTTCCCCCCCCTTCCAGTCCGGACACTTCCCCCCCCTTCCAGTCCGGACACTTCCCCCCCCCTTCCAGTCCGGACACTTCCCCCCCCTTCCAGTCCCGGACACTTCACTTCCCCCCCCCCCTTCCAGTCCGGACACTTCCCCCCCCTTCCAGTCCGGACACTTCCCCCCTTCCAGTCCGGACACTTCCCCCCCCCCCCCCCCCCCTTCCAGTCCGGACACTTCCCCCCCCCTTCCAGTCCGGACACTTCCCCCCCCCTTCCAGTCCGGACACTTCCCCCCCCCCTTCCAGTCCGGACACTTCCCCCCCCCCTTCCAGTCCGGACACTTCCCCCCCCCTTCCAGTCCGGACACTTCCCCCCCCCCTTCCAGTCCGACACTTCCCCCCCCCCCTTCCAGTCCGGACACTTCCCCCCCCTTCCAGTCCGGACACTTCCCCCCCCCCCCCCCCCCCCCCTTCCAGTCCGGACACTTCCCCCCCCTTCCAGTCCGGACACTTCCCCCCCCCTTCCAGTCCGGACACTTCCCCCCCCTTCCAGTCCGGACACTTCCCCCCCCTTTCCAGTCCGGACACTTCCCCCCCCCCTTCCAGTCCGGGACACTTCCCCCCCCCCTTCCAGTCCGGACACTTCCCCCCCCCCTTCCAGTCCGGACACTTCCCCCCCCTTCCCAGTCCGGACACTCCCCCCCCCCCCCCCCCCCTTCCAGTCCGGACACTTCCCCCCCCCCTTCCAGTCCGGACACTCCCCCCCCCCCCCCCCTTCCAGTCCGGACACTTCCCCCCCTTTCCAGTCCGGACACTTTCCCCCCTTTCCAGTCTGGACACTTTCCCCCTTTCCAGTCTGGACACTTTCCCCCCCTTTCCAGTCCGGACACTTCCCCCCCCTTTCCAGTCCGGACACTTTCCCCCCTTTCCAGTCCGGACACTTCCCCCCCCCCCTTCCAGTCCGGACACTTCCCCCCCCCCCCCCCCCGGACAGTCCGGACACTTCCCCCCCCTTCCAGTCCGGACACTCCCCCCCCCCCCCCCCCCCCCTTCCAGTCCGGACACTTCCCCCCCCCCCCCCCTTCCAGTCCGGACACTTCCCCCCCCTTCCAGTCCGGACACTCCCCCCCCCCCCCCCCCCCCCCCTTCCAGTCCGGACACTTCCCCCCCCTTCCAGTCCGGACACTCCCCCCCCCCCCCCCCTTCCAGTCCGGACACTTCCCCCCCTTTCCAGTCCGGACACTTTCCCCCCTTTCCAGTCTGGACACTTTCCCCCCTTTCCAGTCTGGACACTTCCCCCCCCTTCCAGTCCGGACACTTTCCCCCCTTTCCAGTCCGGACACTTCCCCCCCCTTTCCAGTCCGGACACTCCCCCCCCCCCCCCCCCCTTTCCAGTCCGGACACTCCCCCCCCCCCCTTTCCAGTCCGGACACTCCCCCCCCCCCCCCTTTCCAGTCCGGACACTCCCCCCCCCTTTCCAGTCCGGACACTCCCCCCCCTTTCCAGTCCGGACACTCCCCCCCCCTTTCCAGTCCGGACACTTCCCCCCCCCCTTTCCAGTCCGGACACTTCCCCCCCCTTTCCAGTCGGACACTTCCCCCCCCTTTCCAGTCCGGACACTTCCCCCCCCTTCCAGTCCGGACACTTCCCCCCCCCTTTCCAGTCCGGACACTTCCCCCCCCTTTCCAGTCCGGACACTTCCCCCCCCTTTCCAGTCCGGACACTCCCCCCCCTTTCCAGTCCGGACACTTCCCCCCCCTTTCCAGTCCGGACACTTCCCCCCCCTTTCAGTCCGGACACTTCCCCCCCCCTTTCCAGTCCGGACACTCCCCCCCCCCCCCCCTTCCAGTCCGGACACTCCCCCCCCCCCCCCCCCCCCTTCCAGTCCCACTCCCCCCCCCCCTTTCCAGTCCGGACACTTCCCCCCCCTTTCCAGTCCGGACACTCCCCCACCCCCCCCCCCCCCTTTCCAGTCCGGACACTCCCCCCCCCTTTCCAGTCCGGACACTCCCCCCCCCCTTTCCAGTCCGGACACCCCCCCCCCCCCCTTTCCAGTCCGGACACTTCCCCCCCCCGTTTCCAGTCCGGACTCTCCCCCCCCCTTTCCAGTCCGGACACTCCCCCCCCTTTCCAGTCCGGACACTCCCCCCCCCTTTCCAGTCCGACACTCCCCCCCCCCCCCCCTTTCCAGTCCGGGCACTCCCCCCCCCCCTTCCAGTCCGGACACTCCCCCCCCCCCCCTTTCCAGTCCGGACACTCCCCCCCCCTTTCCAGTCCGGACACTCCCCCCCCCTTTCCAGTCCGGACACTCCCCCCCCCCCTTTCCAGTCCGGACACTCCCCCCCCCCCCCCCCTTTCCAGTCCGGACACTCCCCCCCCCCCTTTCCAGTCCGGACACTCCCCCCCCCCCGTTTTCCAGTCCGGACACTCCCCCCCCCCCCCTTTCCAGTCTGGACACTCCCCCCCCCCCCCCCCTTTCCAGTCCGGACACTCCCCCCCCCCCCCCCCCCCCTTTCCAGTCCGGACACTCCCCCCCCCCCCCCCTTTCCAGTCCGGACACTCCCCCCCCCTTTCCAGTCCGGGCACTCCCCCCCCCCCCTTTTCCAGTCCGGGGCACTCCCCCCCCCCCCTTTTCCAGTCCGGGCACTCCCCCCCCCCTTTCCAGTCCGGGCACTCCCCCCCCCCTTTCCAGTCCGGGCACTCCCCCCCCCCCCCCCCACTTTCCAGTCGGGCACTCCCCCCCCCCTTTCCAGTCCGGGCACTCCCCCCCCCCTTTCCAGTCCGGGCACTCCCCCCCCCCTTTCCAGTCCGGACACACCCCCCCCCCCCCCCCCCTTTCCAGTCCGGACACTCCCCCCCCCCCCCCCCCCCCTTTCCAGTCCGGACACTCCCCCCCTTTCCAGTCTTCCAGGACACTCCCCCCCCCTTTCCAGTCCGGACACTCCCCCCCCCCTTTCCAGTCCGACACTTCCCCCCCCCTTTCCAGTCCGGACACTCCCCCCCCCCCCCCCACCCCCTTTCCAGTCCGGGACTCACTCCCCCCCCCCCCCCCCCCTTTTCCAGTCCGGACACTCCCCCCCCCCCCCCCCTCCTTTCCAGTCCGGACACTCCCCCCCCCCCCCCCCCCCCTTCCAGTCCGGACACTTCCCCCCCCCCCCCCCCTTCCAGTCCGGACACTTCCCCCCCCCCCCCTTCCAGTCCGGACACTTCCCCCCCCCCCCCCCCTTCCAGTCCGGACACTTCCCCCCCCCGCTTCCAGTCCGGACACTTCCCCCCCCTTCCAGTCCGGACACTTCCCCCCCCCCCTTCCAGTCGGACACTTCCCCCCCCCCTTCCAGTCCGGACACTTCCCCCCCCTTCCAGTCCGGACACTTCCCCCCCCTTCCAGTCCGGACACTTCCCCCCCCCTTCCAGTCCGGACATTTTTTTTTGATATATATAAATGAAAAAGTCCAAACATTTTTTGAAAAAAAGTGTTTTATTAAAATTTTGGCAAATAATCTTTCTTCATAAATCTTGGCCAAAATGTATTCATCTATCCTTTTTAATAAATAAAAAAAAAACAAAAACCCAAATTTGTTTATATAATCAAAAATTATAATTTTTCTAGCTGAGCAATGCAAAGTAGCGTGCTTACACAGTAAAACACGCACAGCACACAGTTAACCATTTGATTGCCCCAGATCTTAACCCCTTCCTGCCCAGTGCCATTAGTGCAGTGTCAGTGCTTTTAATTAGGGCTGATCACTGTATTAGTGTCACTGGGGATGTCAGTGACAGTTCCCGGAAGTGGCAGAATGCCCGTCACAGTCCCGCTATAAGTCGCAGAGTAAAAGTACACAGAGCATGCAAAAGCAATTATTTTAGTAAATACTATAAACTGCTAAATCCCTTTTCTCATCATCAGTATATAACAGTCTTGTGACTTTTATCAGTGTCCAGCAGAGCACTGGTTAATCTTGTAGGAGGAGTTTTTGTTCTCCTCTGACTGTCCTGTGAGGCTGCATGACCCCTGAAGAAGGGAAAACAAAGAAACACAGCGCCTCTAAGTGTGTACTGTGAAGGTATTTAATAAAAAGATAAGTAGTAACTCACATCTTAGAATTTAAAAACAGGCTCGTGGGTGAGAGGGTGAGACGTCTGTAGCAGATGTTGTTGTGTGTCTGATCCAGAGAGGAGATCAATGGAGTCCGTCTCGCAGGTTGTGCTGTGCATGTGCAACATGGATGGTAAGCCTGGTGGAATCTCCGAGGTGTCTGCCAGCAGATGGTGCCGTGCATATGCAGCATAGATGGTGGAGCTTAAAGAGCGCGCCTGAGCTCATCTCGTCCTGCACATGCTCAGAAATGCATCGCATTTTGATGACGTCAGACGCCACATGTGTTGATCCCGGACATATTGGAGACTCTGCCAGGCTTCACCATCGATGCTGCATATGCACAGCACCATCTGCTGGCAGACACCTTGGAGATTCCACCAGGCTTACCATCCATGTTGCACATGCACAGCACAACCTGCTGACGGACTCAATCGATCTCCTCTCTGGATCAGACACACAACAACGCCTGGCTACAGACGTCTCACCCTCTCACCCACGAGCCTGTTTTTAAATTCTAAGATGTGAGTTACTACTTATCTTTTTCTTAAATTTCATGGATGGTGGAGCCTGGCAGAGTCTCCAAGATGTCCGGGATCAGCACATGTGGCGTCTGACGTCATCAAAATGTGACGCATTTCTGAGCATGTGCAGGACGAGATGAGTCCAGGCGCGCTCTTTAAGCTCCACCATCTATGCTGCATATGCACGGCACCATCTGCTGGCAGACACCTTGGAGATTCCACCAGGCTTACCATCATTTTATTAAATACCTTCACAGTACACACTTAGAGGCGCCGTGTTTCTTTGTTTTCCCTTCTGTAGAGTTATGCTTCGCTCCTACGCAGCTTGCCCTTAGTGCTTACTGGACTACCTTCACCCCTGCCCATTTGGAACTCCACAAACATACATGGACTGCCACACCATGCGCCTGTTAGCCCTTTTGCATGACCCCTGACCCTCTGTCTGGACAGCGCTGATTGACCCTTGGCCAATCTCATGCACCCTCCCAATTAAAAAAAACTCTCTAGCAATACACACTAAACTGAGCATGTGCAGACTTGCCACTGCTGATCTGTACTATGGCAGATGGATTGGGGGCAGTAGAAGAAGGGGAGGGTTAGAGTAGACAGAATCAAACTGCCTTTTTACACAATGCGGGGGATTAACCCCTTAGGTCCCACAGTGAGTATAACAAGCATGCTTTACTGCATCTACAGACTGATTGTACTGTTGTAGGTTTGGTAATACTTTAAGCGCCGTTGGATGGGGGTGAAAGTAATATATAATCTCCAGCAGTCTGGTCTGTTTTTATTGTGACGTCACCACTATCTGCTCTTTTGTCGCAGAGTTCACATTCGGCCGCTGGTCCAAAATCTGTGATGACCTGAGGGATGAACGCGATCCCGAGTTTGCACCGCCGTCCGTCTACGCTGCAAAGCGAAAGTCAAGGAAACGAAAGAAGAGAAAGCGGAAGCAGGCAGGACCTTCTAAAGACCCGTCACAATCGGGACCAGAACACAACCAGCATGCACAGGAAGCACCAGGACCCAACAAGCCCACAAAGCCGGATGAGCGGAGTCTGGATGAAATGTTGTCTTATTACAGGAAAGTTACCTGATCCTACAGCACTGTGCAGAGATAAGGGGAAGGGGTTCTTTACTCTCCAGCAGTATGTCTCAAATGTCAGTTGGCCTCCTGTCACCATCACTGCTTCAGCTGTGTCTCAGGACTGACTGCTATGCAGTTAATATTTGGAGTGGAGTCTTTCAGGGCTGGAGGTACCCCTTGTCAACCCCACTGCAGCTGTATTCACTGGCTGTGAATTCTAATGATAGCTGTTGATCTCTGCGCAGTCTCTTCGGTTACTGGGGATGGGGGGGGGATTTACTAAAACTGGTGCAGTTTTGCATGGTAGCCAATTGGCTTCTAACTTCAATTTGTTCCATTAAAGTGTTACTAAACCCCGGACCCGGCATTTACTATATCTGTACTCCCCGGACCCTGCATTCACTATATCCGCTCTCCCCGGACCCCGCATTCACTATATCCGCTCTCCCCGGACCCCGCATTCACTATATCTGCTCTCCCCGGACCCCGCATTCACTATATCTGCTCTCCCCGGACCCCGCATTCACTATATCTGCTCTCCCCGGACCCCGCATTCACTATATCTGCTCTCCCCGGACCCCGCATTCACTATATCTGCTCTCCCCGGACCCCGCATTCACTATATCCGCTCTCCCCGGACCCCGCATTCACTATATCCGCTCTCCCCAGACCCCGCATTTGCTATATCTGTACTCCCTGGACCCCGCATTCACTATATCCGCTCTCCCCGGACCCCGCATTCACTATATCCGCTCTCCCCGGACCCTGCATTCACTATATTTGCTATCCCCGGACCCTGCATTCACTATATCCGCTCTCCCCAGACCCCGCATTCACTATATCCGCTCTCCCCGGACCCTGCATTCACTATATCCGCTCTCCCCGGACCCTACATTCACTATATCTGCTCTCCCCAGACCCCGCATTCACTATATCTGCTCTCCCGGGACCCCGCATTCACTATATCTGCTCTCCCGGGACCCTGCATTCACTATATCTGGTCTCCCCGGACCCTGCATTCACTATATCCGCTCTCCCCGGACCCCGCATTCACTATATCTGCTCTCCCCAGACCCCGCATTCACTATATCTGGTCTCCCCGGACCCTGCATTCACTATATCTGGTCTCCCCGGACCTTGCATTCACTATATCCGCTCTCCCCGGACCCTGCATTCACTATACCCGCTCTCCCTGGACCCCGCATTCACTATATCCGGTCTCTGGACCCTGCATTCACTATATCCGGTCTCTGGACCCTGCATTCACTATATCCGGTCTCTGGACCCTTCATTCACTATATCCGGTCTCTGGACCCTGCATTCACTATATCCGGTCTCTGGACCCTGCATTCACTATATCCGCTCCCCGGACCCCGCATTCACTATATCCGCTCTCCCCGGACCCTGCATTCACTATATCCGCTCTCCCCGGACCCCGGCTTTCACTATATCCGCTCTCCCCGGACCCTGCATTCACTATATCCGCTCTCCCCGGACCCCGCATTCACTATATCCACTCTCCCCGGACCCTGCATTCACTATATCCGCTCTCCCCGGACCCCGCATTCACTATATCTGCTCTCCCCGGACCCTGCATTCACTATATCCGCTCTCCCCGGACCCCGCATTCACTATATCAGGTCTCCCCGGACCCCGCATTCACTATATCAGGTCTCCCCGGACCCCGCATTCACTATATCCGCTCTCCCCGGACCCTGCATTCACTATATCCGGTCTCTGGACCCTGCATTCACTATATCCGGTCTCTGGACCCCGCATTCACTATATCCACTGGTTTTTGATGTGCTTTGCTCTTAAAATCTGTCTAGCAACAAGAAAAAAAATGACCAAACCCCCTCCCAAAATGCATCAAAAACGTAATGCAGAAAAGGGTCAAACACAACCTGCACAGGAGTGAACCTAGCCTGCTTTGTGTGAATTTAGCACGGTGTACAGCAGGGGGCAGCAGTGTGTAATAAATGGTCTAAGTAGTTCCAAGTCAGGATTCGGATGGCAGAAGGAAAGGCTGGAAAGTGGAGTTCCAGCTGGAAAAAAAAAAAAGTCAGCAGCTACAAAAACTGTAGCTGCTGACTATTAAAATACAGCCACTTACCTGTCCCTCGATCCCGCGGTGTGCTCACAACCGCTGGCTTCACCCGCCGCCTTCTCTCCTCGGTGCCGGCATCTTCAGTGTGGCCACACGGCTGTGACAGCTTGCGGTTTCACAGCCGGGTGCCCACTGCGCATGCGCGAGAAGCGCTGCGCTTTGTGAATGGCCGTGTAGTTTTCTGGGACCTGTCACGTGTCCCAGAAGACTACGGGGAGGGAGGACAACTTCCACTTCCGATCGCCTAGGTGATCGCAGCAGAAGTGGGAGCGGGTACCTGTCAAATTTGGGTACCCGCCCCCCAAAGGTGCCAATCCTTAATAGGGAGTGGGGGACAAAGCATTAAGCAGAACTTCCCATTTTGGGTGGAACTCTGTTTTAAGTCACCGGTCACACCGCTGCGAAATAAAACTGCGCAATTTCAGGTGTGATTTCTGAAGACTTTATTGCTACTTGTGAAGATTTTCAACGATTTCTTGCAATTTGCACCGTGATTTCCATTCTATTCTATGTATGTGAAATCGCAACAAAACTGCAGGAAAAGTGATGCGAGAACTACTTTAGAAGTCACGCTGCAGCAAATTGCACGTGTTAAGACACCGACATTCATTAGATGCAATTTCTATTCACAAATCGCGCCTGAAATCGCAATGGTATGACCAGGCACTTAATCTTGTAGGGGGAGCTTTCATTCTCCTCTGACTGTCCTATGAGGCTGTATGACCACTGAACCTCTGTTTGGATAGTGCTGATTGGCCTTCTGCTGATCACTTGCAAAATCCCCCCCCCCTTCCCAAATATTAAAAAACCTCTAGCAAATCACACCAAACTGAGCCTGTGCGGAGTGTTTCCTAGGGCTCAGTGCTCTCAGCAGATTGGGGATAGTAGAAGAAGGGGAGGATCAGAGAAGACAGGATCAAACATCCTTTTTACACAATGCAGAGGATTAACCCCTTAGGTCCCACAGTGAGTATAACAAGCATGCTTTGCTGCATCTACAGACTGATTGTACTGCTGGGGGTTTAGGAACACTTTAATGTTACCTACAGGTAAGCATTATTATAAAAAATTAGGGAGGTAGAATTATTAAAGAAGAGTTTACTACCACTTTAAGGGCCGGTTCACACTCCATGCGTTTCAGTTAATTTTTTTTTGCATCCAAAACGCACAGAAAGTAGTTGATAGGGTTGTCAATATCATAGTTCACATCAGTGCTTGCAGTTCCAGTGCGTTCCGGATGCAGAAGAAAAAAGAACAGGCTGCATTTTTCCTGCACAGAACTGTACTGAACGGTAAATGCACAGATCCCTATTTAAATTGAAGAAAAAGAGAGGGGGGGGGGGAAATTACCTGTAATGCATAAAAAACGCACTGCAACATGTCAAAAACGCATACAAAATGCACCGGAACGCATCAAACGCGCACATGCAAAAACGGATTCGAAGCGCATCTGGACTGCGTTCTATAGTGTGAACATGAATGGGGGTGACTTTATACTTCTAAATCAGCTGCTGAGCTGCTGCACTTGCAGGGCTTTAATGAGGAATATGGCGGGGTCTGCATCTATCTAGACATCCCTCTTCCGCCTGTCAGTACAAGGGTCGTTGGTTCCAATCCCAACCACGGCACCACCTGTACCTATACCAAGATGGCTGCCTCCATACATGCACAGAACAGCACAAGGCATGAGAAGTCGGCATAGGATAAAATATCGGTTGCAGGGCGACCACAGGCAATATTGGGGAATGGCACCAGCAGGGTGCTACAGACCGGGCAAGTGAACAGGCAGCTTTGGCATTAATGGAGTTCACCAGCCAAACAAAAATTAGCAGCAAGAACATGTAACCGAGTCTAGGAACTATATTCACTTGGGGCAGCACAGCAGCTAAATGGTTAGCACTTCTGCCTGGCAGTACTCGGGTCGTCTGTTTGAATCCCAACCACAGCACCACCTGCCTGGAGTTTGCATGTTCTCCCTGTGCCTGCGTGGGTTTCCTCCGGGTACTCCGGTTTCCTTCCACACTCCGAAGACATGCTGGTAGGTGAATTGGCTCCTGTCTAAATTGTCCCTAGTATGTGTATGTATGAATGTGAGTTAGGGGCCTTAGATTGTACGCCCCTTGAGGGTTAGGGACCTTAGATTGTACGCGCCTTGAGGGTTAGGGACCTTAGATTGTACACCCCTTGAGGGTTAGGGACCTTAGATCGTACGCCCCTTGAGGGTTAGGGACCTTAGATCGTACGCCCCTTGAGGGTTAGGGACCTTAGATCGTACGCCCCTTGAGGGTTAGGGACCTTAGATTGTACGCCCCTTGAGGGTTAGGGACCTTAGATTGTACGCCCCTTGAGGGTTAGGGACCTTAGATTGTACGCCTCTTGAGGGTTAGGGACCTTAGATCGTACGCCCCTTGAGGGTTAGGGACCTTAGACTGTACGCCCCTTGAGGGTTAGGGACTGATGTGTGAATGTACAATATATATGTAAAGTGCTGTGTAAATTAAAGGCGATATATAAGTACCTGAAATAAATAATAGACGTGATTTCTCTTTAGTAGTATCTCACCAAAAAAAATGACATTTTTGTTGCAGGGGATGCCCAAATCTGGTTGAATGTAAGGTTGGCCATACACTATACATTTTCTGTCCGATTTCCTTTAGATTTACCTTCAACTATGTAGTACAAAGGCCTGCCTCATTGGATACAACTGAAAATGTTGTTTGGGTTGGACCTCCTATTATATGGTTTTTGGTAAATCTAAAGCTGAATTCTCAAGAAAATTGTATAATGTATGGCCAGCCTTAGTGCAAACTTCTGGGAAAATCAGTGAGCCAATCACACAAGCAGGAAATGACATTTTGGGGAGGGAGGGGGGGGGGGGGGGGGCGGCGCTCTGTACACCATCTGTGTCCAGAATGTCTCAAGGTTGCCATATTGCATTTTACAGAACTTTACAGCACTGCACATTGAAAATGATGAATCATGTTTATGACATGTTTAACAGACAAAAGTCCATCCAGTTCAACCATAAAAAAAAAAAAAAAAGTTATAATCCTACACCCACAGTTGATCCAGAGGAAGCCGAAAACCCAGCAAAGCACGATCCAATGTGCTCCTGCAGGGGAAACAAATTCCTGATCCCCCGAGAAGCAATCGGATATTCCCTGGATCAACGTCCCTATAAATGTTATATCCAGTTATATTCTGTGTATCCAAGAAAGGATCCAGGACTTTTTTAAAGACTTGTGTTGCAATTGTTTATGCTGTATTTTTTTTTTCTCCACAAAACTTTATTGATGTTTTATGATGAAGAAAAAGAAATCCAGTGCCAGTGATGTCCCGATCCTCAGGAATCCCCCAATCAGCAAATATTCCAGAATTGTCATCATCTTTGTCCTTCAGCCTGCAGAATAAAGAATTTTCTCCACCCGAGTCTGACAATTCATGATACATAATAATACAAACTGACACCAACTGACATAGACTGATATATAGTTACATAGTCTGGCTGAAAAAAGACAAAAGTCCATCCAGTTCAACCATAAAAAAAAACTTTTATTGGTGTTTTATGATGAAGAAAAAGAAATCCAGTGCCAGTGATAGCTCGATCCTCAGGAATCCCCCAATCAGGAAATATTACAGAATTGTCATCATCTTTGTCCTTCAGCCTCCAGAATAAAGAATTTTTTTCTCCACCTGAGTCTGACAATTCATAATACATAATAATACAAACTGATACTGACATACACTGATACATACTGACATACACTGATACATACTGACATACACTGATACATACTGACATAGACTGATACGCACTGACATAGACTGATACATACTGACATAGACTGATACGCACTGACATAGACTGATACGCACTGACATAGACTGATACGCACTGACATAGACTGATACGTACTGACATAGACTGATACATACTGACATAGACTGATACGCACTGACATAGACTGATACATACTGACATAGACTGATACGCACTGACATAGACTGATACGTACTGACATAGACTGATACATAATGGCATAGACTGATACATACTGACATACACTGATACATACTGGCATACACTGATACATACTGCCATACACTGATACATACTGACATAGACTGATACATAATGGCATATACTGATACATACTGACATACACTACACTGATACATACTGACATACACTGATACATACTGCCATAGACTGATACATACTGACATACACTGATACATACTGCTATAGACTGATACATACTGTCATACACTGATACGTACTGACATTGACTGATACGTACTGACATAGACTGATACGTACTGACATAGACTGATACATAATGGCATAGACTGATACATAATGGCATAGACTGATACATACTGACATAGACTGATACATACAGACATAGACTGACATACACTGATACATACTGACATACACTGATACATACTGGCATATACTGACATACACTGATACATACAGACATAGACTGATACATACTGACATAGACTGATACATACTGACATAGACTGATACATACTGGCATAGACTGATACATACTGACATAGACTGATACATATGGACATATACTGATAGACACTGATACATAGTTAGTCTGGCTGAAAAAAGACAAAAGTCCATCCAGTTCAAACCATTAAACAAAAAAAAAAGTGGAGTTACCCTTTAAATCCTGTACAACCAAGCATCAACACCATGTGATTTGTCGGGGGGTTGCCAAAATGTTTATACAATCCGATAGAGGACGATGAGAAATGGCGATGGATATTCCGCTTAAATGCACCCAAAGGTGGAATTACTTTCTAGACGAAGTGGAATTGCTATCCTTGCATGTTTTAGCTTGCATTAAAAAAAAATAATTGTCTCACAAGCCCAACTCATTAAAATATAAGTCGCCCCCCCCCCCCCCCCCGGAGATCCCCACCACCTTATCCCGCGTCCTGCGCCATACCGCGCTCTTCTTTCTTTTCCCCGAGGAGACCCTTTTAAAGCCGTCCCAGAGGCTTCATTGCCCTTTTTGCTGAGCGCTTGCGATGTGCTTAGCACACAGCCCCCCGGTCCCTGGTGTCCCCTCTCATCTCATTGTCTGCGACTTATTCCAAATATTTATACTGCATGCGCACTTTTATGAAGCGTCGGCCTCTCAATTAGAATCCTTTATTACCCCGAAGACGCTCGGTTCCGAAGCGAGCTGCAAATTCCAGCAACGCTAAGGGGGGTAATGAGACCATTTTTCACGGCGTTGACACCCTTTTGTCACAGCGAGCACTCGGGATGCTGACTTAACAGGCTCTGTAAAGCGAGGGGATGGCGCTAATGTGCTCCAGTTTTGGGAACGGACGCATAAAAGAGAGCTTTTTCACACTCCCGACACCGCTACGGCGTTTTGATAATTGTGACATTCGGAGGCCACTGGGACCTATTGATGTCTTAAAATGAACATGGCGTGAAACAAAAATGAAATTGTAAGTGAAATCTATGCTGACCACTTTGTAAAGTGACTGAAATGCGGTTAAAAAACCAAAAAAAAAAACAGTTCGGCTTCCGAAGAATGCAAAACTGCTAAAACTGGCCAGTTCCAGAAGACATCTTGGTGTATATATAGTTACATAGTTAGTCTGGCTGAAAAAAGACAAAAGTTCAACAATAAAAAAAACATTAAAAAAAAAAACAAACTTAGGGATGTTTTATGATGAAGAAAAAGAATTCCAGTGCCAGTGATATCCCGATCCTCAGGAATCCCCCAATCAGCAAATGTTCCAGAATTGTCATCATCTTTGTCCTTCAGCCTGCAGAATAAAGAATTTTCTCCACCCGAGTCTGACAATTCATAATACTACAAACTGACACTTACTGACATTCACTGATACATACTGACATAGACTGATACATAGTTACATAGTTAGTCTGGCTGAAAAAAAGACAAAAGTCCATTCAGTTCAGCCATAAAAACCAGGAAAAAAAACTTTTATTGATGTTTTATGATAAAGAAAAAGAAATCCAGTGCCAGTGATATCCCGATCCTCAGGAATCCCCCAATCAGCAAATATTCCAGAATTGTCATCATCTTTGTCCTTCAGCCTCCAGAACAAATTATCTCTACCTGAGTCTGACAATTCATAATACAAACTGACACTGACATAGACTGATAGACACTGATACATAGTTAGTCTGGCTGAAAAAAGACAAAAGTTCAACCATAAAAAAACCATTAAAAAAAGAAAAAACTTTTAGTGATGTGTTATGATGACGAAAAAGAAATCCAGTGCCAGTGATGTCCCGATCCTCAGGAATCCCCCAATCAGCAAATGTTCCGGAATTGTCATCATCTTTGTCCTTCAGCCTCCAGAATAAAGAATTATCTCTACCTGAGTCTGACAATTCATAATACAAACTGACACTGACATAGACTGATACATACTGACGTATACTGATAGACACTGATACATAGTTACATAGTTAGTCTGGCTGAAAAAAAG